GGGAACCGCTGTTGGACGTGCCCGGCTGGCTCTTTTGCAACTTGCGCGGGGACGATTGCTGCGTTCGTTCAGGGGATGGGGTGGTTGTGGGCTCAAATTGAGAAATGCGAAACGAGGAGCCGAGAGAATCGACGCTCAGGCGGCGACTGAAGCTGGCCGAGCGCTGGTGGCGGTGGTAGAGCTGGTGGCTGCCGGCAATGGAGGCACGGCTGGAAGCAGCGGTGGATGCGGACCAGCGGTTGTTGAGGCGTGCTAGGTCAGGGGCGACGCCGCCGACACTGTTGGAACGCAACGGGCGATGATTCGACGAAGACGCGGCTGTTGTCGTGGCGGGGTCATTGAGGGTGCCGTACGGTGCGACGGCGGCCGTAGAAGCCGCAGGACGATTCGGAGCAGTCGCGCCACCGACGTTGACGGCGTTGGCGTGGACGGTGCTGTTTCCGTTGGTGATGGGGACGGTTTTGGCGACAACGCGCGCAGGCGGAAGAAGCGACGAGGTGCGAGGGAGTGAGGCTGCGGAAAAGGGCGCGGGGGCGGCGGGCGTGGTGCGCTGGCGGAAGGAGAGGGGATGCAAGTCCGAGCCTGCAAAGGAATCGACAGTTGCCGCGGAGGAAATGGCAGCGGCCGGCGAGACAAAGGCCGAGGAGATGTGGGCCTGGGCTCTGGCGCCGGTTCTGGATGTTGCCGTCAAGTCACGATCGGACGGGGTGTTGTAGGAGTTTGAGTTGTAGTAGGCGTGTGTGTGGGAATTGGAATCCAGTCTGGCGCTGGGTATGGCGTTGGAAACGGTGATCGGCGCAGACACGAGGGGGAAAAGGGGCAGGGGCCCAGTAGCGGTAGGGTGGCCCAAGTGAGCGACGGCATGCGAGGACGTCGTGGAGGACGGGTTTGAGATGGCAGACGAGGCGAAGGCAATGTGCGGTGCAGGCATTGCTCCTGTCTCGCGGGGCAGAAAAAGAAAGAAACGGATGAGGGTCGTGGCCGTGGCCGTTGTCGTCGTTGTGGTTCACTTTGCAGGCGGTCAGGGATTCTCGTGGAGCGCCCTTTTGGCGGACATACTAATGCTAGTGAAGGAGGAGACGAGGGAGGGATTCATGCACTGGTCGGTGGTCTCTTGTTTGGCGGAAGAGACGGGCCCTGGCAATATTCAAGGTCGTATGGTCTGAGTAGCGTCGTGGCCAGCGAAATCCGAGAAATTCGAGAGCTTTGAGAAATTCGAAATCAGGAGAACACAACACGGGCAGCCGAGCCGGATCGCCTAGTCGACTGCTGGGTGCTTTTTTCGACGTGGGCAAAAAAGGGGAACTCTGCGCGTGGCAGGGCTTTCAATCAGCCGGAAAAATGCGACAGCCACGACAACCACGACAATCACGACAAAATTAGCAGACACCACAGACGCAGCGTTCGGCTCGAACGACTCTTGTTTCTCGTGGTCGTTTCCTCTGTCGACCGACAGTCTTGAACAGTCCAGGAAACGATGGACGGACAGACGACGAGGGTATTCCTGGGGTTTGCGTGTCTCGCTGCACAGTATGTCGTCTTGAGTGACCCTTTTCTTAGCCCCTGTATATTCCCTCTTTAGGCCAATTCGATTTTGGGTCCGGCCAAGGAGGAGGTCCCGTCATGACCCCTAGTTGGAAAGGTTGGGGAGGGATGGAAGGCTCGAAGGGTGGAAGGGTGGAAGGGGTGGAGGGCATGGAAAGAGTGGAGAAGGCGACCGTCTTTTGTCGATGTCGCAGCAGAGTCAGGGGTTGTGTGGTGTGGTGGTGGTGCCGCCGGTGACTTTCTGGTGGCAGATTGCTCTGAAGGAAATTGGAGGCGTGGAAACAACGTGATGAGCAGGCGATGAGCGAGGTAAGATGCTCCTTTTGCGCGCAGACTGCACGACACCTGCGATCTGCAGCTATATCGTAGAAATGTTAGCGCTTGCTTCCTCCGTGGCTTTCTTTGCTTCTTGTTGTCTTCTTTTCCGTTCCTGACTCGCGTCCGTACTCTGATCTTCTCTACCGTTTTAATTTCGTGTTTGCAATTCCCTCAGGTTGGGCCTGCTTCGTTCCTTTTCTGCGCCTCGAATTTTTCTTTTCTGTTTCCTTTTTCTTTTCTCACTGTGTCCATTTTCAGCGATTGTCTTCCTCCTTGTCTCTCAACTCCTCCTGTCGTGACCAGCTCTCGTCTCTTATGTGGAGTCGTGTCGATGGATCTTTTGACATTGGGGCTATCTGACATATTTGGTTAGCTGTGCTGTCCTTTGATGTGGTCCTCGTGAGTCTATTGGCATCGGTGAAGGCTGGCCAATGAGGCCGTACATGGCTCGCTGACAATTTCGACTGGACAATTGGGAAATGGAAGCAAAAATGCGGTGGCCCTCTGAATGGCTCCAACCGGTTTGTCTGACGCAGATCTCACGAGCTTACTGTGCTACGCTGGCCAGACGCGTATCTTGTTTCTGCGTAGCTTTGATTCGAGCTGGAATTAAGCTGCTCGAGTTAGCTGTTCAATTCTTTCGGCCTCTTCTTTTCAGCTGTTGTCTGGCCTCCTTCACTGCTACCTTTGCTCTTCACACAATCTTCTGTTGCCCTTGTTTTCGCTCGGCCATTTGCAATTAGTGTCTCTGTTGAGGTCCAGCTAGCTGGACTTCGATGAACAAGGCACAAGCAGTCTTGCTGCTCGGCTCTGTTTTCGTGTCCCCTGCGCACAATCTGTACACGGCACTGACCTCATCTGGCCTTGGGAGGCCCTTGTAGATCGCATGCGGTGGAACAAATGTCGACAATTCGTACATGCAAATGCAGTGCGACGCTGGAAGGCCCTGCCCCAAATACTGATGCAGTCAATGCTGCAGAGACAAACTTGTCGAGGAAGGCCTGGCAGCATGAAAGATGTTCGCAGCCTGCCACGGAGTCACACCTCGAGGGCAAAGAGACGAGCACGACGTGACGAGTGTCGAGAATAACATACCGCATTTGTTGTCAAGACTTTGGCATTTCGGCTTCTCCTGTTGGGACTACATCTAGCCTCGCCACCCGCACCTTCCTTGACTTGTTCCTTTCTACGTATGTCGTGCTTGCCTTCGTTGTCGTTGTCGAGAGGTACAGTGTACCTTCCTTAGATGAGTCTTGCTCAGCGAAGATGGCCCTGCGCTCCTTCTCTTCTAGTTGCAAATTGGAAAAGAAAAACAAAAACCTCGGGAAGGAGCGATCGCCAACTTTTGCAAGAAGGAAAGGACGGTATTTTGTGTTCGCCTTAACCCTATCCAACCCTTTTCTATGACACGAGGATGACCGAGCACGATTCCCCATGTTAGCACACCGACCAGGCTGCAGTCGAGCCTTGGACACTTTGTACGGAGTAAACAAAGAGGCAGCGGTGGATGTTAGTGCCGCTTTAACGACGAAAGCAATTACACTTGCGAAAATTGCGAAAATAGTGGCAGGCACGGATGATATCGATTCAGGGGAAAGAGGGGCTCTTTCCTAATTTGCTCTTTTACTCTCCAGCCCTCTGGGCCTCTTTGCCATTTAGCGTGCCTGCCCTGGAGAGGCGCGTTTTCAGTAGCGCCTTCTCGTCACGACGATCTGGAGTTCCGGAGTACTACTGAGTACGACCCCATACGTCGTGCGCCTTTCCTTTTTCTTCTCTTGGCTGCTTGTTGACACTTTTGCCTTTCCACACGAAACGTAGCATTCGAATCACGCAACCCATCGAACATTCGCCGGAGGCTTCCAATCCTTCTGGCGCCGAAACTGGATCCTGTCAGAGGGACCTGTTAGCCTGTATTGTGACCCCACTGTCATGACAGCCAGACGCTGGCCGATAAAGTCGCGATGCATCTTCACGTCTTATCATCCTCCTATCTTGGGCTGCCTGCATGCTCGGTTTGTTTCTGTGTCTTGTTTCCGTTTCGTCTTTTCTGACCCCTCTTCAACTCGTTTCCGTCGCCTTTTCCTTCCCAAGCGGCTGGCTCCGGAATGTTGGACCCCCAGTCAAAGTCCACGTCAAAGGAGCAAATCCTATCCCGCCCAGTTTTGCACGGGTGTGCCGACCTCTCCAAACACAAGTCGTTTCATGCAGCTCACCACCTCCTGCGACATGGGCCGCACGCGAGATAAGAAGAAAGGACGAAAAAAGGCATGACCAGAAAGCGAACAAGGAAGCAAGAAGCGTAAGCGAGACCAAATTGCTTTTGCAAGCAAAGCAGCCGTGATGTTTGGTCCGGATTTGCACAATCTGCTTTTTTTATGGGTAAGACGGTAACGTTTCTTCAAATAAAACAGGTCTTGATATCGGCCTTTTCTCAGACACATTTTCGCAGTCTTCTTCAACTTGCTTTCTTTTGAAGTGATCCAGCGGCTGAAAAGGGGAATTGAGACAACCGAGACGGGCGGTGACTGCTGGATGGGCCGAAATGGCTGTCAGCAGTACGGGGTAGACAGATTGTCCATCACCAACGATGGACGATGTGCAAGCACCAGTGCACTGAGTGGTCGGTGATCAACATGGAGTGTCTCTGATGAACGTCTGCACGCGCGCACGACCCAAGCCAAGAATCAAGACCAATGTCGAGCTCAGCATCGCACAGCCGTTTGTGAAGGGGGAAAGACGAGAAACGGCAGTCTCTGTTTGAGTCGTACCGGTTCTGTTTCAACGTATTCTAGAAACAGAGACACGGCACACAAGGCAACGTGAAGAAGTCATTCAACATCGAAGTCTGGAATGCGCAGAAACAGCATAGACAGTGTCTTTACGGCAGCATGGAATAACCAAGCATTTCTTGTCCCGTCTTCACTAATCGCCCCCCACCCCCACGGCTTGATCGTCACGACTTCTGGATCGACGACTTGTGAAAATGATGTAACCTCGATCGCCACACTGCCACATCCTGCTACGACCCGACGAGCAGAGACGCGCTTCAGAGTATTTTAATTTTATTTGCTCGCTCGCGGCACGGATGCCTTCCACGGGCACTGGACGGACATAGGGCATGCTAGGGCATGACAAACATGGCACCCACGTCGGCGCTCACGCACTGCATCGTATGCGTTCTGCGTTGCAAGTACATTGCATATGCACCATATGCACCATCGCGGTGGAGAGTTCTGGGGGAGTTTCAAATCCTAAACCTGCGCCTGACCGAGGGTTCCGCTGACTCTGTTGGAACCTCTGTCTGGGATTCATCTGTTGTCGGCTCGGTATGCTGCCACAGCAGGTGGTGTTTCAACCACACAGCTATCGTCCTGTCTTTCTCCTGCTGCACAACGCAGACACCAGGCGAGACACAGGACACACTGAAAGCGGTAATTTGAGCAGAGCTTTGGCTTGCCCTTTCGTTGTGTTTCTCTGATATTATCATCTTCCTCTTGTTCCAGTTGCCTCGCCGACGGACAACTTGTTTAATTTCTGTCGCGCAGGCGGTTGACAAAAACGGGACGAAATAGGAGCAGTGTTAAGTTCTTCAACACGCGGCTCCTATTATCTGCTCATCTTGTCCGCATCTTGTCTTATGCCGATGTTGGTATTAATATACAGGCCGCGGGCGGTGCCTTGTGCCCGGGAAACACGAGAGTATGCATTAAAACCAACGCACAAAGAAGGCGAGCGAAGATGGGACGAAAGCCAACGTCTCATATTGGCAAATCCTCGGTGCGATGAAAGACAATCACAAGGCAAGCCGGTGTCAATACCAAGTCACATAAGACAATAAAATCTGTCAACTGTGACTATGGATATATATGTCGCTATGATGCAGCAAATGCCGGTACGCCTTGAAATGAACGCCACTCTATGAAGAAAGACTTGTGAAGGCAACGGCACAACACGAATCAAGCTAAAGTCTCGAGCGGGAGGATCGATTTTGGCGTTGATGGCGTTGATGGCATTGAAGGCGATGATGGGGATGATTCCGGCCCCATCGTGGAAGGGTTTGCAGAAACTTCTTCTGGGGCAGCTGTAGCCCTTGGCGGATCCTGTCCTCGCGGGGCCGTTGGGATGGCCTCCTCTGCCTCGAATGGCGTCTTGACCAGGCGGAACTCGGCGGTCCGCAACAAGCGCTGCTGGTAGTACTCAAGCTGCGCGCCGCGCCGCGCTACTTCGTCCTGCAGACGCTGCAATTTGCGCTCGGCGGTCGCACATGCTGTGCTCTGGATGTTCTTTTGGAGGCGCAGGTCCTCGACGGCGCGGACCTGCGCAGCCAGCCGGCTCGCCTGGGCCTCCGTCTCCGTCTGGTGGCGCGCAGCTGCTTCGGCGATTTGGCGTTCCAAGTCGGCGACCCGTTGCAACGACGCATTGTTTCTGTCGGTCAGCAGAGCCGTGACGCGGTGCATCTCGGCATCGTGAGCGGCGACGACGACGTCTTTGGCAGCCAGCTGCTCCGTGAACTGCTCCTGCTGGGTGGCGTGCTCCTTGTTGCGCGTGGATGCGCAGCGGCGCTCGTCGTTGAGCTGGACGCGCAGGCGGGCGACCTGGCCCTCGAGCTCGACGCGACGGGTGCGTTCGGCATTGAGGGAGGCGAATACGGCGGACGGGTTCGTCGGCTCGTCGGGGAGGATAGAACTGGTAGCGGCGGACGGTTTGTCGGACAAGATGGTGGAGGGCGCCGTCACGACAGTCGACCCGCGCTCTGTTTCGGCGTCATCGGGATTCCCGCCCCCGTTTTGGGCCAGCCGTAGCTGCTGCTCCTTGACATTCAGCCGGTGCATGAGATCGGCCTCGCGCATGGTATGTTGGGCCCGCTGCTTGGTCTTTGCCATCTCCATGCCGCTGATTATGAGGGAAAGCCTTGCATTCTCTTGGTTTTGGGCCTCGCACAAGTCGCACAGCTCTTCGATGCGGGCCTCAAGAGCCTGGATGCGGACGGCTTGATGTCTGCTGCTCCAGGAATTGTCCGTGTTGTTGTTGGTGCTCGGGGTGGATGCTACACGGTCGCCGCCAGAGTTTCGCGGGTTGCTGGTGCTCCCCCGGTGGAATATGTTGATGACGCTTGGGGCCATGTTGGCAGTGGTCTCTGGCGGACGACCAGAGGGCGCTTCGGTGTAAAGCTGGATGTCTGGATGTCTGGATGTCTGGATGTCTGGAGGTATGCTGGTTTTGGTAGAAGTAGCCAGTAGAGGGAGGCGTGTCCAGAGTTGTTCCTTCACGTCTGTTGCGTTCAATATGGACAAGGCTCAGTTGCCGACATCTGTCCCATCCTTTTTGGATTGTGTCAGAAGCAAGGCTCTCCGCGTGATTTTCTCGTCGTGCCGTATTGCGGGAAAAGAACCGGGGAGCGCTTCATGCTTGATACGAATGTAGACGATGGCAAGTGCTGCAGAATCGGCAATGGCGAGGAGACGCCTCCAGGGCCCGTTGTTATCAGTTATGCCTAGCGGAAGTCAGTGGGGCCAGGAGCTGCCCTAAGGCGGCGGCCACACCCGCCAATAATCACAGAAGGCTACTGCTGCGGCCCGGCGCTAATCCCGAACGGGGCGACTTACAGCGAATCCGAATCCAAACGACCAACTAACTGAAGTTTGCCTTGCCCACGAGTGACAACCATAACGCTAAGGCATCCAGTTTGAAATGAGGGGACAACACAGCCACGCGGGTACTATAGGAGAGAGAGAGAGAGACGGTATCACTCCGTACGCCGTACTCTGGGGAAACAATCGTGATATATTCTGCAAAGCAAATGGAGTATCGGCAAAAAGGAAATAAAACAAGAAAACAGCCAACATCCCAACAGCGGCACCAAAACGCCTGCTACTCTCGAAAGTAGAAGCTACAGAGTAGTCCCAAAGCCGCACGCATCAGGCAGAATCATGGCCTCCGCGCAATCGGGCCACAATGTGAATGGTGCTCTCGTTCATGATGCCGTAGTCGCGCACCGTCAGATTGCCGTTGAGCTGCTTGCCTGACCAGATGAAGCGCAGCCACTCAACGTCCATGGACTTTTCCTCGGCGAGGCGGCGGAAAACGGCGCTCATGCGCGTGTCGATGCCGACGTCCCTGAGGACGAGCGACTTGCCGTCGAGGTCTTTGAAAAAGAGCGTTTTGAGGACGGGGACGCTGGGGCCCGCCGAAGAGGAGGAAGAGGCAGCCGTCGCTGGTGCTGGGACTGGCGCAGTCGCCTTTCGTGCTACCTGTACTGGAGCATCGGGTTCGGCATTGTAGGGTGGCGGCGCTTCGACGACGGTCCGGATAAAGTAGACGGTATCGCCCTGGACTGTTAGTACCTCTGCGAACTGAGAAATGAAACTCGCAACAAAACACGAGAGACTTACTTTATGGACGCCGTAGTGGGACAGTGATTTGGTCACTGCACGACATGGTTAGCAAACATGAAAACCACGGATCATCGTTTGTGTGGCGGCGGAAAATGGAGAGACTTACTATCTTCCATGACCTCACCGGCAAAGATGACTTGCATGGTCGACCAGCTGGCCGGGTTGTCGATGGCGTGCGCGATGCGGTGCCGAAGATCGCGCACGCTCTTGTCTGGGTCAAGGCCTTCGATGGCATGCGACTCGCCCTCGTTGGCCGTCAGCTCTTCGGCAAAGATGATGGAGCCGCTGTAGGCCTCGAGCGCCTTTTGCTTGGCAGAAGACGTGCTGGTCATGGTTGTGGTTGTTTGTCGTGAGATTATGGCTGGCGATGTTGAATGAAAGGATGCGGAAGTTGAGCCACTCGAAGTGAAAAGGAAAGGGAAAAGACAAGCAGCAAACAGGTCATGGCAGCCTTGTATATAAAAGATGCCTCGATTGGAGCGCCTTGTGCCAAATATGGACCGTCGGTCAATGTGCATCCACTACAATGAGCAGTGCTACAAGAGTCTGTCCACGGACAGGCTCACAAAAAAGAATGTCTCCAAACTGGACAGCCCTAACAAGCTCGGCATGGGAAAGTGGCCCGACCAAGATGCCAAGAAAAGGAGGTCCTCGAGCATAACGAGGCACATTCTCCAAAGTGGTGAGTGGGCTGTGCGGGTGAGGGGTCCTACAGTGACAGTGGTGGAAATAGTTTCGTATTAATGCTCTCGTGCGTGTTGTACTGTTGGACAGCCTTGTTTGGTCTGCTGGGATAATCCGCCTCATGGAGAAGAGAAAATATTGTGTCCGTCGTGCTGCGTTATTCGTTCCGCTGTAGGAGGGCCGGCTGCCAGTGAACTATCGAGGTGGGATGTTTCTTTGGTCTCGTGCTGCAATTCTTTTGTCCAATGATCCCATCCCAATTTCTTCTACCCACAGTCTGTCGACACGGAATTTCCTCTAGATTTTCTTTTCTAGAAATTCCCTAGACCATTGTCTTCCGTCATAACCAAAGAACGCAAAAAAGTACGCAAAAAAGAGAGGAAGTCATACGCACCTCACAAATGAACACCCGCGAGGCTGCTGTTGCAACCCTCCTGCGACAAGGCTGGGCGCCACAGTCGCAGGTGGCAGCAGGTGCAGCTTCGCCGACGTCTATTCCGGCATCACCAGTCGAACGGCAACAGCAGCAGCCTCACCCACAACCACCCATCGACATATGTCTACCAGACGAAGAGCTCACGTACGACTATGCAACAAGTCCACAGACACCGGAACTGACAGCCTGGCCGATACCAGAGAATTCCTTCGCGTCCGGCCTGGCATGCGATTATTCCCTCGTTGATTACTGGGACTCGACGTCCTTGGAGGACACCGCAGCTGTCCCGATCGCCTCGCCTGACTCGTCCGCCCCGTCATCCAGTGGCGCGTCTCCAAGAAGCCTTGTACAGTCGTCGTCAAGCGAGGAAACGGTCGAGAATCCGGAGTCAGCGGCGGCAAAGCACAACACTACGCCAGATGAAGAGGAGGACATTGTGGCTGACGCCGTCGACGACAGCGACCTCTTCACGCCAGTGCCGCCGTTTGAGATGCCCAGCTTTTCGAACACGCCCGCCCTCGCCACCCGGCCGACCATCCCGCCGTCTTTACACGACTGGATCCTTTGCAGCGAGGTCGGCCTGCAGTTTATGCGCCCGGCGCGGGAGCGCGTCATTTCTTGTGTTGCCTGTGGCCAGGATTGTGAGGACGGCGCGGGCACCGGCGCGGGCACCGGCACCATCGACACAGAGCACGTCTTCCGGTCTACCTTTTGGCGCATGACCACCTGTCGCGCATCCCACCGGCCGCCGGAGGCCAACCATGGTCGAAGCGGCCTTTGCAAGCGCTGCGACAAGGACTATGTCCTGCAGGTCATCCGCGGCGAACACAAGTGCCGCCATGCGGGCTGCCGCCGTGTTCTTCGGGTGCATGTACTCGACGTCGAGGATACCCTCTGGGACCACCCGGGCCTGTGGACAGCGTTCCACGCGCTGATCCGGGCCCACAGCACATACGAGTGCGACATCCACGCCGATACCGTCGACAGCGACCCCCACACCGAGACCGACCTGACACCGGACTGCGACCACGACCGCAACGCCTGTGGACCGTGCCTCACCACGCTCTGCGAGGCGGCCATCCAGAGCGACCGCCTTGGCGACTTGGTCTGTCCCGAGCCCGCCTGCCGCAAACCGCTCAACCGCAACTCCATCCGCGACCTCGTGTCGGACGACGCGCTGCGCCTGTACGACAAGAAGCTCGCCTTTGTCGCCATGACCCGCAACCCCAACTTCCGCTGGTGCCGCTGCGGCCATGGCCAGATTCACGCCGCAGGCGACGCAGTGCCCGAGTGGACCTGCACGGCATGTTCAGCCCGCCAGTGTTTTGTGTGCCAAGACGCCGATGTGGGCACCATCTGTGAGCACCTCCGCCGCGTCGACGACGAGCGCGCGCTGGAGCGCCTGCGCGACGAGCACGAGCGCAGCCGCTTTACCTCGTACGACATGCAGCGGCAGCGGCAGCTGGCCGAACGAGCCGTCCGGACGCTGGCCCTTGAAGCCCACGAAAACAGCCGCGGCTCGCAGCTGGTCATTGCCACCACGGCGAAGCGCTGCCCCCGCGTGGGCTGCCGCGTGCCCATCCAGCGGGATGAAGGCTGCGGGCACATGACGTGCCGGCGGTGCCTGACCGAGTTTTGCTGGGCGTGCAAGGTGATTTGGAAGGCGCCAGCCCGGCCGGGTGTGCGCGGTTCCGTCTTTGGCAGCTACGGGAGGCGCGGCCAGGGCCCGAGTTCCACGGTACTGATGCCGCTGCATTTGCCGACGTGCCGCTTTGGCTCACAACGCACCATTTCCCGTGACCGGATCGACCTGTCGGAGTATGCCACCGGCTGGGATGTAGATCTGGGGTACGACGAGGAGCTGGACAGCGGTCTGTGGTTTCAAGACGATCAGCAGTAGCCAGTTGTAAGTTGTGTATGATACGGTATGCAATCAATGTTTTTGTTTATACCCGAGAGCGAGTGTATTTATATATATCCAATAAATTGCGAGAGAACGGCAAACGTCTTTTACCTGTCACCCACCATCGTGATGCTCTGCGTATCCACCGGGCCACTGGTCTTTCAGGCCACTCAGACCGACGCCGTTCGCTAGCCGTCGTAGATTCTGCTGCACGCTGAGGCGTATGTACTGTGACCCCGTCTTGTGCAAGAAGCCGCCGCCCTGTGCCCCAATGTCCGAGCTGGTCTCTTTGGCCGCAAGGAAGTGGCTGAACAGTGGTGGCTGCACCGTCAAACACTGCGGCAGGGGCTCCTCTGCTCCATCGTCACCGGCCAACTGCCCGCCGCCGGTGGTTGTCGCCGCTCGACGCCTCCTCGGCGTTGTTCCGGGCCCTTGGCGATACATACCATCGCACCAGTCCCGCAGCATCAGGTCAAACCCTGTCGTGAACGAAGCCAGCCCAAATTGATAAAGCAGCTTCCGCGCGCCCCGCTGGCTGACAGCGTACGCCTGTGTGCACAATGTTCCGCTGGCCGTGTGCACGACACGCGTATGAGGAGGGTATTGCTTTCCAAGTTGATCGGGAAGGGCAAACGGGTGCGGGCGGAGGTCGGCTGGCTGAGGGACCGTGACGTCGTCGGCCAGGATCACACGCAAGAGGGACAGCTGGGCCGGTGCCGACGAGGGCCCGCCACTTTGTGTGCCCCCAATGGTGTCTGGCCGTTTTGTAAACGATGGCGGCGATGCCGGGAACTCGGTGCCGCAATGGCCTAGCCACAGGACGTCCCAGTCGTCGCCGTAGGGTGATGTTGTCGCCCATTCGTACTCCGGCGCTGAGGCCAAGGGGACATCATGCTTCTTTTGCGTGTAGCCCTTGGCATCGGAAGCGGCTACAATGAGGCGATGTACATGGGCATGGCCGTTTGGTTGTGCCTCTGCTAGGCCAGATGGTTCCTGGCCTTTGCGCATGAGGGTCGCTCCGCCGAGATCGGGAATGCTTCTTGGAGCCTTGTCAAACAAAGGTCTATGGAGCTGTGCCAGCGACCTCCGTGTCCCAGAACCCTGAACCCGCTGTGGCTGGCCGTACGCCTGCGCAGCCAATGCAAACGACGTCATTTGCTCTTTGATCCGCACGTCCCAGTCGATGTCGTCCTCCATCACCAGCGCCGTCGTCAAATTCTGCTCAATGATTCGCCGCAGCACGTTCATGTGCGCCCGCCACGAGCCCTTGTTGCCCGCGGGGATCGGCTGGCCCGCGCTGTCGGCGGGAAGCACGCGGTCTTGGACGGTCTGACTGTCGACGCCGGGGCTGAATGTGAGCTTTAGGTTCGTCAGGCTGGCGGCCAGCGCTATGGCATCACTGCGGTCTGTCCGCGACGGCAGGTTGACAACAAAAATTTCCTGGAACTGGACACGTTAGCAAGACTCAAGAACCTGCAATACAGCCAAAGGGACATACACCTAGTGTCGTATTGGCCACGTCGGCGAGGAGTTTGTGGCGTTCTCGGCCACGACCACGGCCACGGCCATGGCGTGTCCACCCTACCGGGTCTGCCGTCCATTGTTTTGGCAGGTCCTCGAATGCGACTCGATTGCGGTGCACGACATACACGACGAGGCCAATGAGAACGAAGACGGCCAGTCTAGGCCGACGTCGAAAGATTCTCGCCGGCAGAAGCATCGCGAACTCATCTCAATGTCTTGGCGTGCTTTGAGGTTGGAAGAAGGAGAACGGTGAGTTGGAAGCAAAGGTCAAACAGACCGGCATGCAGTCATCCCGCCTGGCCCAATGCAAATGCATTGGAAACGCGGTCGCGTGGGAAGCATTGACTGCCGGCTCATCTTGTGCGGCTCATTTTGTGCATTTTGCCATTCAAGCCGTTCCCCAGTTCTATTGCCCTGGTCCCCGGAATGCCTGCCTTGCCGTCCTGGACGAGGCGGCAAGAGCGACGCGCTAGAAAAAGGGGCAGCTGCAACACGTCAAAACACCGAAAGGAAAGGACGACTCGTGAAGACATCGCACCTTCCTTTCTCACAATTATGCCTTCCCCTGGTGCCTTCCCCTGAATTTCTTTACAGATTTGTTGGTTGATCTTTCCTCACAAAACAGAATGGCAAGCAAATGATGGCGACAAAATAAAAAATACAAATCCGAACTGAACTGCAAAAAGGACTGCCGGCTAAAGTCTACCATCCGCCGACAGTCCCAAATTCACTACGCTGGGTGATATCCCACATAAGAGCGACAATTGTGCATACTCCAGTCAATGGATGGCGCTACGCAATCTTTCTCTCGCCGGCAGTAACAGATCCGACTCATTCATCACTCCCTTGCCCATCAGTCTTCGTCCAGCCCAAGACCGCCCACTTCCCAAATGGACGCCGCCAGCAACACACCCAGTTCATCGTGGTGCTTGCCTACAAGCTGAATACCGACCGGCAGCTTCCCAGGCGACTCTGCCCCGTCCATGCTTGGGGCCGGTGCCCATCCGCCCGGCATAGCCAGCGCCGGGTGGCCTGTGATGTTGAATGGCGACGTGTTGTCGCTTACGCCTAGGTTCGCCTGATACTGCTCCAGGAGACTCGTCCCTGGCGGTCTGCCCGCGGCCGTGATGATGTGCGGGGGCGCCACCGACGGTGTCACGGGCAGAAGCAAGACGTCCACGTCGCTGTTCAGCACGGCGTCGTACGCTGCCTGCAGCTGGACCACGTGCGACACCGCCTTGCTGCGGTAGCTATGCGGGAACCGCTTCGTGTCGCCCAGATATGCCGAGCCCAGCGCGGCTGTGACGACCATGGGGCTGGCCGCCGTCATTTTCTCGTACCAGTCCTGCGTCAACGGCGGCGCTGCCACGTCCGTTGTCGTATACGCGAGCAGATCCGGCGCCTTGCCGGCCAACAGCACGTCGGACATGACACCACGCATGGCCGCCGTCCAGATCGCACCGCCTTTGCTGTGCAGCGGCACCGAGACGTCCACCACTGTGGCGCCAAGGCTCTCGAACTTGGCCGCGGCGGCACGCACAATGGCTGCCACATTGGGGTCCAGCTTCGGCAGCGCCAAGCCCTCCTTGAGCAAACCGACGCGCAGGCCTGTTCCTGCGGTGGTGGGCGTCCACGCGCCGCAGCTCTCCTTGGCGGCAATGGCTGCCTTTAGGAGCTCGTGGTACGCTGGTGCATTCTTTCGTGTCGGCGTTTCTGGCGTCGCTCTTGGGTCCAGGCCGTCGTGCCCGGCAATCGCCGACAACAGCAGGGCCACATCCGCCACCGACGACGCCATCGGCCCCGCATGGTCGCAAAGCGGGTGCAGTGATGCGATGCCCGTGTACGGCACCAGCCCGCGCGTTGGTTTGAGCCCGTACACGCCGCTGTACGCCGCCGGCAGTCGAATGCTACCGCCCTGGTCACCGCCAATGGCCAGGTCGACACCCGGGCCGTTGTCATCGACAGGCAGACCGCGCGTCTTGCGCCATTTTTCGACCGCCGGAATGGCCGTCAGGACGCCGCTGCCACTGCTGCTGCCGCCCGCCGCATGCCCCACCAGCCACGGGTTGTCCACAGGCCCGGAGGCGCTCGTATCCGACAAGCCTGACATGCAAAAGTTCTCGCACGTCGACGTCCCGACAACTACGCCGCCGCTCTCGACGAGGCGTGTGACAACGGGCGCATCAATTGACGGGATGGGAAAGGGTTCATTGGGCGAGTTGGTGAGCTGGTACGGGTGGGTGCCCAGAGTCAGCGGGATCCCGGCCACGGCGACGGTGTCCTTGAGGGCCACAGTGCGGCCGGCCAGGATGCCAGTCGAAACAGCGGCTGCGTCCTTGAGCGTGAACCGGTGGCTCCAAGCGTTCAAAGGGTTGTCCGCCTTGTCGGGCACCGCATACGTCCGGTCAGCAACGGGCGTGGCCACGCTGGGCGCCAGTCGGGGGTCGATGTATGCGGGCAGGGCCTCGACTTCGCGCACCTCGTCCTCCATGGCCTTGACAAGCGTATAGTAGTCGGCCTCGTCCTGGGGGGTCATTTGGAAGCCGAACGAGGCCACCAGGGCCTGGAACGTAGCCTTGTCGAGGCCACTGGGGGCGACTGTCGAAGACATTTTTGTAACGGCCCGTTGAGAAAGACGAGGTGTGTCCCTTTCGCTACCTGGTGAGAGTTTGTCAAAAACCATTTGCACTGGCAAAGAGTAAATATTTCACCCGATACGAGTGACATCCGATACGAGTGACAACCACGCTTTCTCCCCCGCACAGAGCTCAGCGTATAGATATCGTCCGGGCCCCCGCCGGCTATCCTATCCTATGGTGGCGTGTAGTCTTCATGGCACTGAACTTGACTCTCTGCACGGCAAATCTGATCTTCTAGTCTTATCGCAGTTGCCGATTTGGGAAATGCATCTGCTTGGCGGTCGGCAGTCTCCGATGCGTGGCCAAAAGCCAACGTCGTCTTGGTCGTGTTAGACGCCATACAGCGCCCTACATTCTTGACTCCCTCGAGTGTGCTTGAATTTTGAATTTTGAATTTAATTGTCGAGAACTTCGCCCCTGACAAAAGTCAACAGAGAAAGGCATCAAAGAAATAACACCTAGCAAAAGAGGTCCTGTTGTCGCAGTCACGTGACGATGATTGTCCTTGCTGTCGACATGGACGCAAGATAATGTTGATGCAACGACATAAAGAAATACGTTTGTACACTCCGTAGCACGGTGCAATATAATACATCTTTCTAAGTTCTGATCTTTGCACGACAACAACTGGGCGCAGTTTTGTTTATGTCTGCTTCGAGCTGATATCTTGTTCAGGCCGCCTCGGCTTGCCCCACTAGAGCTCTTGCCTTGTCTGACGCAATAGCCCCTCTCCTCCACTGGCGCCTGCCTTTTTTTGCTCGCTGAATTCGCGCCTCGGCCACTAACCTGCCGACACCGCTCTTGCATTAATGCCCCACTCGTCAACAACTCGTCCAGTCAGTCCGCTGTCTCGTCGCTACCGGCGCTGCCGAGCAAAGGAGACCATCGCTGCAGCTCCCGTATGAGCCCGTCGAACCGTCAATAGCGGGCTTAAGAGAGGACAGGGGCAGGAACGAGACAGTTCGTTTTCGGCGTCTCGCGTCTCCGAACGTCGTGCCTCAGGAGCCCAATGGTCTTGTCTTTGGGGCAGGTGCGAATGGCGAACGACGAAACTCGCACCGGAGGCAGGTACGTCAACGGCAGGCCCGTCCACTGCAAAAATGTCGAGGAAAGCGCGATGGTGCACAAAACCAATCTTTTTTGCATGACCGTTCGGCGGAGTCGCCGGGCCCATCGATGACGGCATGGTCCCAATAAACACAAAACAGGGCGCTGTCGGCGTCGGATCCGGCCCTTGAAAATGATTTATTTGCGATGGGCATCGCACTTCCTTACTTTCATGGACTTCAGAGACGTTCATTTGAATTGATTCTTTTGCGATTGAATTGCAACTTCACTTTTTCAAACTCCCCTCCTTCCTCGATTTCCCTTACACACAGCACCATCACACCTTCCTTGTCGAGCGATTCGCGCGACTTCTTTCGTGCAATTCCCTGTTGATCGTCTTTAGCGCTCATTTTACAACGCACTCGCACCTGCTCTTCGCTCCGTAGTTTGGTCCTTACGTCACCCCGCCGCAGCTGCAGCTGAGTAACTTGCATCGTTCCTGCCGGACACAGCTGTCAACAACCCCCGACTCGATAGTTCCTGGCCACAATCGCGCGCACCCAATTCGAGGGTTTCTGTTGCTTCACGTATCCAACCTCACGTCTTTTGTTATCTCTTCTTCACCTCCTCCTCACCTGTCGCCTCTTCGCCGCCACCAACGGGGATCTCCTCGCATCCCTTCAAGCCTCGACCTCATTCGTCTCGGCCTCGTCCCGTCCCTAATCTCACTCTCGCCACCTCGTCACAGCCACTACAAATGGCGACACTAACGTCCAACGAGACGCCCAAATTCGTGGCTGGCGACTATGTCAAGTTCTTCGGCGCCGGCGCTCTCGCCGCCACACTCACCCATGGCGCCGCCACACCCATTGACGTCGTCAAGACCCGCATCCAGGTCGACAGCGCCATGAAGGGCCTCAACATGATCTCGGCCGGCCGCAGCATCGTCGCCAACGAGGGCGCCGCCGCGCTGCTGACCGGTTTCGGCCCGACCGCCGTCGGCTACCTCGTCCAGGGCGGCGCCAAGTTTGCCGGCTACGAGTTCTTCAAGAAAAAGTACATTGACCTGCTGGGCGGCATCGAGCAGGCCACGCCGCACCGCACCGCCGTCTACCTGGGCGCCAGTGCCAGCGCCGAGTTTTTCGCCGACATTGCGCTCTGTCCGCTCGAGGCCACGCGCATCCGGCTCGTGTCGCAACGCGGCTTCGCGTCCGGTCTGGCGTCGGGCTTCGTGCGCATCGCCCGCGAGGAGGGCCTGCGCGGCTTCTACTCGGGCTTCATCCCCCTCCTCTTCAAGCAGGTGCCGTATGCCGTCGGCCAGTTTTCCGTCCACGAAGCCGCCAACGAGGTCATCTTCCGCGCCATGGGCCCCGAGCGCAAAGCCAAGCTGACGCACCTGCAACAAACCGGTGTCGAGCTGACGTCGGGTATCGTGGCCGGTGTGGCGGCGGCGGTGCTCTCGCACCCGGCCGACACGCTGCTGTCGGCCATGAACAAGGGTGCCGGCGACCCGAAGCAGGGCGTGCTGAGCCGCATGTTTACGCTGGCGTCCGAGTTTGGCCCCAAGCGGCTGCTGCTGACGGGTCTGGGCCCTCGTGTGGTGATGACATGCGGTCTGGTGGCGGGCCAGTTTGTGATTTACGCGCAGTGCAAGGCCCTGGTGGGCGCACCGGCGGGCGTTGAGCTGCACAAGGAGGAGAAGCTAATCAAGTCATGAAAATAGAGAGCGGGTTCTTTCATCTTGACTTTATTTGTTTTTGTGCCTTTTCGGCTGTTTGGTCGTCTGTGTTTTCACCCTGCGGAGTTTTGCAAGATTCTTGTGTTTCAATGTCAATCGTGTTTGTTGTGGTTTAGATCATCATTGTATTTAGCTTTTGTCTTTCTAGACTTGGATAACGATAATAGAGTCATCAAACTCACTCACTTCCAATTCATACACGACGTGGCGGGAAGTGATTGTTGACAGTAACAGCTCAAGTCCTAGCATCACCATCTACACCCTGACCTCACTTTGCACCTCGTCGAAAATAAATATTGGTGGCAAAAGAGAAGGGTATAAATAGCCGACTTCGTATACGTTTACGAGTCTACTTTCTTTCCTTTTATCAGCAAAGCTACAACAAGAAGCAAACGCAGCAAACGAAAAAAAGTAAAACGATTTCCATAGCCCAACAACAAAACAACCCACCCCACAACTGCCAGCATGGGTCGCAAAGACGGCTACGACTTCCCCAAGCCTGCCCCGGCTGCCCCGGCGCCTCACGGCCCGGCCCCACCCCCGAAGAAGTAAGGATAGGCTTTTCCTGTCTGGAGCCGATGCTACATATCAGAAGTAGGCAGACTTACTGCTTGATCTTGTAGCCTCATGCTCACTTCCTCTCTCCCTCTCTGTCTCTCTTGACAAGAGGGGGATTTTTTTACCATTGCAATGCTTTCACGTGCAAACGGCACCTGTGTCCGTGAAAACGGGCCTTTGACTATTTTTAAGGTGGACAACAGATGGTCTAGTATTTTGAAATGCCTTGGGCCTGGACTATGGGAAAGAGAGAAATTAAAAAAGAAACTGGAGTCCTCTTGACGAAGCAGGATAGTTTCTTTTTTGTTGGATCCCCTTGGGTATTGACAGCTAGCGATCGCGACAAATAGGAACCATATGTAGCCACAATAAAAAAAGGTTTTGTTTCCCACGTATGTTGAAGTGGCCAATATCCCACCCTCGTAAACCAGTCGCATCTCATTGTGTTTTATGAAGCCTTTATTGAAGCCATCGTGATCTCACGGGGAGACAACATGGTCAGTCTTCAGATAAAGGGAGCGTGCGGCTGCTGCTGGGGTTGAATAGTGGCAATTTAGTGCTGATAAGAGAAATGCAATGTCAGTATTGGTTTTGGACAGACGCCATATGAGGCCATTCAATGTGTAGACACGTAAAGGAAACACGGGGAAAGACGTACGCTGCAGGAGCTGCAAGAGCAGGAGGAGCACGAGCCGGAGCAGCCAGAGGCGCACGAGGAGCAGTCACTACGAAATAGGATAAGTCGTTAGTGTTCTGTTCTTATGGAATGCCTGTCTACAGGTGACGAGGTGACATATGGACTGCAGCCGCGGGAGGCTAATCCGATTCTTGACGCCAGAAAAAGAGGAATGACTTATGGCTTACCAAGGGGCCATTTTGATGATTTGGGTGGGTGACTGTTTAAGGTCGAAATAGGTTGTATGATAATGAAGATGTTTGGTGAGATGCTGAGAATAAATTGCTTGATAATGAGAGAGAAGAAATATTTTTGGAAGATGCCAAACCGGGAGAATCACGGTCCTTAAATACACATTTTCTGGCTACGGGCTAGAAGGATAGCTACGAAACTACAAGGCGACCAGAGGGCTCCAAGGCAGCTAGAACAAGTGGGAAAATACGACTGAAGGCGAAGACCAAAGACAGCCCTTCCCACGTCGTGCATACAACAATAGAAAAAACGTATCCCCCCGCGTGGGAGAAGGAAAGAGCTAAGGTGGTTCGCGGTCTAGGATTGTTTTACTCCAAAAGTACGGCCCTCGACGTCGTATTTGCTCCTGTCTGCCTGCCACATGCGATGTCATACTACTTCCGCAGGTTTTCGTAGAGCAAATAAAAGTAAAGCGTGGGTCATAAAGCGGGTATACGCGTGGGGAGTGGCCTGTAGATGTGCGCAGTGGGATGCACATATTCCTCACATCAACCTTTTTGCTTTGCTTCCTTGCATCGATAGGCAGCTTGAGAAATACAGACTACTGCAGAAATGCGGGTGCCAAGTGCGCCGTGGAGGTCACGTATGTAGGAAGTGATAGGCAAACTGTAAAAAATGCAACGGAGAAGAGGTGGTAGATGATAAGGCAATCCAGAAGAGAGGGTGATGAACGCAGTGAAGCTACACCACCGGCTAACATATTCCTGCAGAAACATAGTAGCAGGTAGCTGGAAGGTCGTGGGTATGGTAGTGCATTCTCGGTATCACTGTATGTACTTCATAGAGGTGATAAGGAGCGCAGAAGAGGGTGTGCATACGCAAGAAATGTGAACCAAAAGATCATCATGCAGCCTGCACCTGCACAGCTGCAAAGGCTCCGTGCTGGCCATGACGGGCCACCGTGAAGCAGAGGAAATAAACAAGAAAAAAGGGGGTGGGGGGAAGCTGTTCGGAAAAGACACGACGGGATGTAGTAGGTCTCGGTGCAGGCCGATAAAAAAATCGAGCGACTGCTGCGCTAAGTTCGGCAAAAGTTAAAGAGAAAGCAAAAGGAAAAAGAAGCACATTGTCAGAAAATTGAAACGAAAACGTGTTCCATTTTCTCTTCTGTGCAAGCGGCACCCTGTAGCAAGAGACTCTATTCTCCAGGACAGGGAACGAAAGGAGGACAAACGAAATGGGCGGGCGAACAGGAAAGAGGAGAAAGACTTGCGGACCCTCAAGGCATCCAAACGAAGCGGGCCGAAGCCGGTCTCTGGTTGGCTGTGATCCGACATCTTTGAAGAAGGGTTGGCAGGGAAGGTAGGTGGTGGTAATGTGGGTATCTCTGCAGGTAAGAAAGAGCGTGAAGGGCGTAGTGAGAGAGCCTGGAGACAACTGGTGCCACAGATGGTCACCGCAGATGGTCACACAGCAGGCGTAGGATGAAGGAAGGATGCACGGTAAAGTGACAAATAATATAATAAGAGAAACGGGGGCAGTATCATAGTGAGGGTGAGTGAGGCAAGAACAAAACTCAGTTGTCAGAAAATCAGGGTATGAGGCCGAGATGGGGTGAAAAATGGTGTCTCGATCGGGGCAAGAGATGCGAGTGTGGGAGGACGAGTGGGACGGCGAGGTGAACAGTGGATGTACCCATCTTTCTTGTTTGTTGCACCGATGCCGACGTGGCACGCGAGTCTTGTGGCAACATCGACCGCCGATGCAGGGCGGTTCCGGTGGTCCAAGGAAACCAGGGAGTAGTTTGTTGGAAGCCCCCGGTATGTAATAACTTCATGTCACAACGTGGGGGCATAGAAACTCAAGAGGCAGGAAAGTCAGGGGGGACAAGATGAGGAGACAACGAGCATGATAGAGAGCCACAATCTGACGGCCCGGGGTCATACAGACCCGAGCTGACCAGAGCTGGTTGAGGAGAACGGAATCGCAAGTGGTCGGGAGGAATGGGGAGACAACACGAGAAGAGGCCAGAGGAGGGGGGGTGAAATGGGGCTGGGCGGATTGTGATCAGTTGGGTCTCAAGAACTGGGCGAAGGGAACCAAGGGAGGTGCAGTATGCATGGTTAGGCGCCTTCTTCCATGCAAGCTGAGGAGGAGATTAGTGGAGGATGTGACCAAGGAGGGCCAGAAGAGTGTGGGACGACGTGGGCAACTGTCGACGAGGGCTCTGTCTGTGTTGCTTGGTGTCGTTACGTAAAGGTAAAGGCCGGAGACAGAGAGAAAGTAGGGGACGGGAGGGAGAATATTGTGTTGGTAAAGAAAGCAAGCCAAAGAAAACCGAGTCGAGAGGAAACAAACCGGAGACGAACAGGCATGGGGCACAGCGCGTGGGGAAGCCATGGATGCGAGAACAATCGTGGAGGTCGTGGACGCGCGAAGAGAGTGTGGTGGACAGAACAGGGCCGAAGAGTACGAGGTTGAGCGAGCGAACGCGGACAGACGTGGGTAAACAGGAGTATAGTGGGCGAAAGGTGCGGACGAGGGCGTGTTGTCGATGCCGGTTCCGACAAACGCGAGAAGTTAGTGACTGGCACAAAATTCGAATTGTCGGATGCTGCTCGTCGGAAGTTTTGCTGATGCAACGAACCGGAAACGCAGGTCGAAAGGCGAAAGAAAGATGAACGGCCATCCGAACGGCGCAGGATGCTGGACGAAGAGGTGCCAGAAGCGAAAAAGATCAAAAGGAGGAAAGGAAGGGCAGAGTCGAAGACCGGCACATGGGGTCGACTGCTACTCTTTATATCGACGCAACCCAAAAAGAGCAGACAAGGAAACGAAACAGAAAATTTGCTCATCTGCTCACCCGCTCATCCAAAAACCCAGAGCGCGACAACTGCGACTTTCTTCCCAACCGTTTCCCAGCGAGTCGCATCTGCCAGGGGCCGCATCTTTTGTCTTGTCTGAACGAAACGCATATCAGCAATCAGCAGATTGTGCACGAAGACGTGCCAACGGCAGGGAAAAAGGGGCCGGCACAAGCGTGCCTCCTTGCGCCCCTTGATCGAAGCCAGAACCTGCTTATTGACCGTCCAGGACGATGATTCAATACGGTCCCGTTTTGGATTTCGAGGGTGTGATCGTCTCTGAGTCGGCGACAAGCAGCGATGTTGGGAAATGCAGGAAACGGTCGTGGTTGTGTATAGCACGCTGGAGAGGCGTCAGGACGGTCCCTTGTGCTTCTGTTACTACGGAGTATGTCTGTTGTGTCTCTTTCCTGCCTGGTGAGCATAATTTGGTCTCCCGCCGTCAGTTGCACGTTCCAGGGACGGTGGGCATGGATCGTTCTTTCCTTACTGTTGTCTGTGAGAACCCGGATGGTCTGTTGGGTTGGGCTGCCAGACCGGGCAGGAGCGCGATGCATTTGCGAGGAAAGAGGGACAAAATAACGGACCAAGCAGGCCGAAATTGGAAAGAACGAGGGCACAAGAAACGGAGCCATGTAGCTCAGGGCGGTCAATCTCCTGATGAAGCCATCCGATAGCCCCAAAGTGGCGATGCGAAGAGCCTGAGATCAACAGTCACCAACAGCGGTCCTGGGACGGCCCGCATCTGATATTGGCATTGGCGACACGCTGGACGAAACGTGGAGCCAAACGTCTCTCTTAAACATTTATCTTATTCTCTGTCTTGATCGACATATCACTATCGTTCATTAAGGCAGTCTATTACAAGCACATTTTATGCCCGCCAACAACCGGTGCATAGGCAATGAGAATACACGTCCGCTCCAAATCAAACGGGCTCAATCCCGAAGCTGTTTTTCACTTACAAAAAGCCCCAAAATAAAAATCAAAGCCGATACGAATAAGGGCCGTGCAAAGCTTGTTGCGGTTTATAGTCGCCGTCGGCCGTTTGCGCGTGTCATATTGGCTCTTTCCTCTTAACCGTTATATCCCCTATATCGCAAGCTAGCGCAGGCCGGTCTTGCTCGTCAACTTAGCGGATGTATACCAATTTTCTGTACCTCTCCTTTTATGTCGCCTTCTGCGGTTGCGGTCCTCTGCTGCTCCGTACTGTTGCTCTCTCTGTCTCGTTTAATGCTCCGTATTCAAACAAAGAATAAGATAAGACGAATGTCAGTTCAGGGATGTGCTGATGGTCCATTGGGAACCTTGATGGATAGACACGCTCCTTCCCGAGCTTCTTTGCACCTTTCCGGCCAATAGCGTGTCAGACATTTGCGGCCCAACTGGGTCCAGCCCTGTAGAAGCAGACCAAAGAGGTTCTCGCGACCAAGAGATGAGGAAAATAGATGGTGGTTCTTTGAGAGACGTATCCGTTCTTGATTCTCTCCACTCGCAATGCATATGGAGGATCCGGCGAGGATTAAACCAGGAGACGGGCAACTAGCCATCAAGGTTCTTTCTTGTTCGCACTTTCGATGTCTTTCTTTTCTCTCTTTTTCTCGTCACCACTTCTCTTTGGCCCTCTGGCCCTCTCTTGATCGTTCTCATCCTTGTTCGCATGCAACAGAGGGGCCGCGATGGATAGTTCGGAGGTCTTCCTGATCTGGTGAACGATTGCCGTCTTGGTTCTCGTCCCTGCCTGTCTTCTTTTTTGGGGCACATTGCCAGAGTTCGTTCAGTATCCAAAGGAATCGTGTCGCTATGCCTTTCCGCGGAGCTGAGACTTGGTGGTCAGTGTAATATTGGCCCACGCGCGAACTGCAGTGCTCACTGTTGAATACGAGCCATTCAAAATAGCCATAGATATGCGTACGCTGTACGGAGTATTTCAAAACACATGGCAGCCATCTCATAATGGACCCATCCTCGCGTGCTCCAAGATCGAATTGTGGACAGAGAATTCATGTCTCTCATCTGTATTGAGACCCGCCACAATCCCTTTCCATCTATCTATATTTCACGCGGCTGGATCGCGCTCATCATGGAGACACCCACGTCCACTTTTGTACTGATCGTCAGCTGCGCCGTTGTGGCAGGCGTGTCAGTCTCTTGGCTCCTCTTCAGCTTCCTCTTCCCACCGCCCTCTTCAACCTCAACCTCGTCGTTACTGTCGTCTTTCTTCTCGGCTACCGGCCCTGGAACGGCAGTCGTCATCGCAATTTTTCTTACAATGGCGATTCTCCTCATTGGATTTCCACAAAATCCGTTACCAAAACGAAAGTGAAAAAGAAAACAATAGTCACGAGACTATGCCATGGATATACTGCAGGTACAGCAGTCGACACTTGGCGGAGCCGTTCTGCGCGCCCGTCCCTATTCATTTATTATCCCATTTGTTTTACTAGTAATATTCTCGGCGTTTCTCTGGTCTATGCATAGCTTTAGTCTCCTGTGCTTGTAAGATACTTTGTCATGACTAGCTGCCCTAGATCATATCCTAGTCTCTCTTATGTTGAACTCATATTCGCCTCTCTTGCATGTGTTCTTTTACAGCTTCTTTACATTGTTACTTTTTCTTCCATCGTATTCGACTCCTAAGGCCAGCCTCGTCCCACTGCTTGGCACATGTCTTACTTTGCTCCCTTTCTCACGGAACAGCAACCACTAGTCCTGCGCCATCCCACGCCCTCGGTGAAAGGTCCTCTCGTTGTCTACCCATGTTGGCGTGCCAAAGAATGCCCTCAATAGCCCGCATACTTTGTACTCTTCAGACTTGCCAGGTTGAGTCTCGTCCTTTAGTTGTCTCCCTCGACCACGATATATTGTCCTTCCTCTTTAGCTGGACTTCCGCAGGCCTTTTGCTCTTTCCATATTCGGTCGTGTCCGTCGCTTCTTCTGTTCCTTCCACTTATTGCTGTGCGCCATACAAATACACTTGCCTGGCAATCCCCCCACGCCTTCCCATTACGGACACCTTCCGTATAACCCCATCTTGCCGTCTCGCCTTCCTTCTCATACCAGTCGCCCTTTCCTCTTCCCAAACAAAAAGGACCTGTCTGTCCATCAAGGTGTCCGTCCACGGCAAATTTCTTCACTTGATTCACTTTCATACGAACTTCTCTACGAGAGCATACGACCACCGATTGTGCCCACTCAACCCTTGTCGTTGCCCCATCGACCCTCTTTTGGCCATCTTGGCTTTTCAGGGACCTTGTCGACCATCTCCGCTTAACCTAGATATATTTCTTTTCGGCGTCTCTCTCGTTTTCTGGTCCCGTTAGCCCCGATAGTGGCTCTACAGATTTTCAGACCCTTGTGCTTATATTTTACATATTTATCGCAGATCCTCTCACTCTTTTAGGAGGGTGAACGTGCATCGTCAACAGTTGTTTTCACTTTGCATACTTATTCCGTCGGTCTGTTGTCTTGGCATTCGTCTCTTTGGATTCCTTCCCGCCTGTCCCTAGTCACCTTCTTGTCCCGACGGAACCTTTTTTGTTGGTTTTTTCTTTACATTCCTTTCCATTCATCCAGCTTCTGTACGTATATTGCTCTACCCCTCAACCAACTTGCTTCACCAGTCACAATCCCCCATACTGGCTCTGTGCCTGTGTAGCCCTGTGGCTGTGCCGTTCCTGGATTTGCAGCCGGCTCGTCCCCGTTTCCAGGATCTCGGATCGTCGTGCTCTGGTTCACCATAACGTGCCTGGTTCACAGGGCCACTTGTTTATAGTGTCTCCATCCCACATCCTCGGTGACGGTATCCTGAAGCAAACAACGTCTGACAAAACTCCCTAACCGAATCCAAAGCCTCACCAGAACAGCCATCACAATGGCGCACCACCACCACCGCCACGACCACCAACACCTCAACGAGTTTGAGTTTGACCCAAACAATGTCGACCTGACGACAGCCGATCCGAAAGATATCATCTGCTTCCTCACTGCCGGTGAGAATGAGTACGACGGTCGCCTGGGTGCCCGCATCTCGGCCCTCTTTGTGATTCTGATCACCTCGTTGCTCTGCACCCTCTTTCCCGTCGTTGCTACCCGGATCAAGCGCCTTCGCATTCCTGTCTATGTCTACCTCTTCGCTCGCTACTTCGGTGCCGGTGTCATTATCGCTACGGCGTTCATCCATCTTTTGGACCCGGCCTATGATGAGATTGGCCCTGCGTCCTGCGTCGGCATGACGGGCGGCTGGGCTGAGTATACTTGGCCGCCTTGCTTGGCTCTGATCATGGTCATGTTGACTTTCTTACTTGACTTTGGCGCTGAGTGGTTTGTCGATAAGAAGTACAACATGGGCCACGGCCATGGTGACAACATTGAGCAATCCATTACCTTGGGCGGCGACAAGCACCGTAACGAGATGACTGGCGGCGAGGACGGTAACCCAGCCCCCGTCTCGCGCCCCTCGCAATCCCACCAATTTTTGCACTCGGCCGACCAGGACGGTTCAGCCGCCCCCAACGCCGCTGTTCCTCACTCGAACTCCGCAGACGACGCTAGCAACGAGAAGCTTGACCTAGAGAAAGTTGAGTATGCCGCCGCGAGCAACGAACGTGCCTTCCACGAGCAGTTCGCCGCCTTCCTGATCCTCGAGTTCGGCGTCATCTTCCACTCCGTCATCATCGGCCTTAATCTGGGCGTCGTCGGTGACGAGTTCAAAACTCTCTACCCTGTTATCGTCTTCCACCAGGCCTTTGAGGGTCTCGGTATTGGCGCTCGGCTCAGCGCCATCCCCTTCCCTGCCCGCCCTGGCAAGTTCCTCAAGGCTCTGCCCTGGCTTCTGTGCGCGGCCTACGGCCTGACGACACCGATCGCCATTGCCGTCGGCCTCGGCGTCCGCACTACCTACAACGGCAGCTCTTTCACGGCCAATGTCGTGTCCGGTGTCCTGGACAGCATTTCGGCCGGGATCCTGATCTACACCGGTCTCGTCGAGCTGCTGGCCCGCGACTTCCTCTTCAACCCGGAGCGCTCACGCGACGGCAAGCGTGTCACGTTCATGCTGGTTAGCCTGTTCCTTGGTGTGGCTATCATGGCTCTCCTGGGCAAGTGGGCTTGAACAATCCACGCGAGACTTTGCAAGCAAACGGACATATAAGATACACACAACACAGTTTGTTTCCCAGACGCAAAACAAACAAAACATAAATAAAACGCCGCTCCAAGAGCACTCGTGGCTTGGTGCGTGTGATGCTTGGCTTTTTATGACAATTAGAACTGCACTTCCAGTTACCGAGGCACATTTTTAAAAAGCTTACCTTTTTAACCTTACTTTGATATTTCGGGTATTATTCCTATATTTTTATATTTCTTATTTCTTCACATATACCACTCGCAATTGTTGTCATTTTATATACTTCTATTGATTTATATTTAAAACATAAATACTCTTACACTATGTCAGAATTTACATGGCTTTTCAACTCCGCACCTTACAGTTGATGTTGAATTACAGTGAAAAATTAAATTATCATTTCATACTCGCAATCATGCTAGGAAACGGCGAGTATTAACTGAAGCGCAGAAGCATCAAGCCAGTACTGAAGCAATGTGCAGCTCTGTGAATTGAAGAACTGATAACAGAGCAATAGAATGTCTCGGAAAATTAATCACTTTTTGAGAAATATCATATAAAAAAATTGAAAAATTTATCAAGACGAAAATACACGAAATGAATAAGAAAGAAAGGCTATGAGGGAAAGATAACTAGGGTATTGAGCTTCCATAAAACCCCACGGGTTTACCCTTCGCCCGACCAAAAATAAAAAGGAAACGGAACTGTTAAAAAAAGGGTGAAGAAAGGACTAGGCCAAGACGATGGAAGAACTAAAGTTTTGTGATGAGAAGGGGGGAAGAAACACAAAAAGGTAGTCACCATGTGACCGTATATGCAAACCACGTTTTTTAAATCACACCATATAGCACATTGCGTATGTTAGAAGGGGACGACAACACGTCCCTGTCCCCGGCGGCCAAAACCCATTCCACAAACGAAAATTACCCAAACCAAACCAAATCAAACCCCAAAACAAGAGACGAAGCGGAACGACAAGAAGAGGCCAAGTCATACCAGAGTCTAGATGCCCCCGGTAACACCAACCGATCCATTGTTCCCTCGGTCCCAAGCTCCCGAGTTGCGCCATTCCTGCCGTGGCGGCATGTCCCCTGGATCACGCGGGTCACGCGGGTCACGTGGGTCACCGCGCTGCTGGGACTGCGACCGCGACTGAGAGGCTGCCATGGCTGGCGGCGGCTGCTGCGCTTGTGGGTGGGGGTAGAGCGGTTGATCGTCGACGTTGTCGTTGAGGTGGAGGTTGTGCTGGGACGGGAAGGGCGATACGTGGTGCAACGAGCCGTCGTCCTGGCCGCGGTTCCATTTGGTCGGCGTGCTCTGGTTGGGCGCGCTATTGTATGGCGGGATGTTCGCACCGGGGGGTGGTGGTGCATCCTGGACGGGGCGTACGCTGCGCTCGTCTTGCAGTACGGAGGGGTCTGTCTCGACGCGCCGGGCAAGGGGCCGCGTCGACGGGTCATGGCGGTTCGTGACCTCGCCCAGCTTGCCGTACGGCTGGCCGGGTCCACTTGTTATGGTGCGGTCGCCGAAGCGCTTGAGAATCTCCTTGGTCGTGATCTCGCCATTGTTGTTGAAGAGCGAAGGATCGTTCAGGACATCGACGAGCTCGTCAGGGACCTGCATGTTTTGGTTAGTGAAAATGAACAATCCATACCGTAAGATGAGCGAGGGGCGGTGCGCCTCGGCGTCTGCACGTACCAAGCACATTTCCTCAATGTAAGTGATGAGCATGGTCACCGCATCAATGGCAAACATGGGGTCGCTGTCGAGTGCCGGAGTCTTGGAGTTGACAAATAGAATGTTGGGGGCAATGACCGTCGCAATATTCCGAATGTCCATCTTGGAGCCGCTCTCGTCGTCCACCTGATGGAACGAGCCCGCCCATTTGAGGAAGAAGAACAGGACCTCCAGGCAGTCGCGGTGGCACTTGGGCAGAAGGCAGCACGTCAGATGCAAGCACCGGCGCCGCTTCGTCTCGTCGTTGATTTTTGCCGCTGCCAGCCACAGGCGGTACAGCTTGTGCGTCATCAGTGGATCGGGCAGGTCACGGAGGTAGCGCTTCAGTAAGGCGGCCACTTGGATCACCGGCTGCTGGCCGAGGCCAACGTTGTCCGAGCCTTCGCGGTCGATCCTGTCGCATAGCTCCGTGAGCTTCTTGATGTTGCCGTTTTTACGGAAAACGCCCTCGACGGACAGATCCATCTTGCGCATGGTCGATACAATGTCGTCAACAATGGCGGGGATGCGCAGCGTGCCGGGGCCGACACCGTCCGTAGAGTCCGCACCGTCGCGTTCGATGATGACTTCGATTGGCACGCCGAATATTCCCTTCTTCTTGACGTTCTTCTTGTTGTCGTTCTTGAAGGCCTTGCCGAACTTGTTCCAGAACGTGGCGGGCTTCCGGGACTCGATGAACCCCAAAAGCTCCTCGAGTGAGAACTCGGCCTCAATCATGGGGAGCATCGTCAACACGGCGAGATGCCGCACGATGAAGTATTCCAGACCCGACAGCTCCGAAAAATACTTGCGGCCCGTGAGCTTTTGGGGGCTCATCGCCCGATTCGGGCCTGGCGCCGCGCCGCCAAATCGCCCTTCGGAGATATTCCGGTCGCCCGACCCGCCCGGTTCACCTGGCTGGCCATCGCCGCTTTCGTTGGTGATTTGGCGGCCAAAGCCACCCAGGCGCTGCTCACGAGCTTGCTCGGCGGCGACAATGTGCGGAATGTCTTCCAGTGTTAGCGCGTCTTGGCGCCCGAGCATGGTATCAGCCATGGACTCGTCCATCCGATCCTCCACAATCTGCACGCCGGGGCCATTCCCACCACTTGCGCCCGCTCCAGCCGAGCCAGGTTGGGCGCTCGCATCCTCCGGGCCACCCATGACACGCGACGTCCTTGCTTTTCGAAAGCTGGACGACAGGTGCTTGTCGAGGCGGGTGCTCCGCAGGCGGCGTATGTCGTTTAGGGTGGTTTCGTAGGAAGACGGTTCGCGGTCCGGATCGCGATCGCTGATCATGGAGAGTCGGTTGTTTCGCCGTACATCGTCGTCCTTGCCGCCGCCGCCGCCTTGGGAGGACTCGTCCTGCAAGGCACGGGCCAGGGCGCCGCTACTGTGTAAAATGTCCAGCAGCCGTGCGAGAGCCACGCGAAGGAGGAAGACGTACTGCTGCAGCTTGGTCACATGCTCGAACGATACGGCCTTCTCCGCATTGGTCAAGCTTTCGCAGGAGCTGCACAGGATCTTGCCGTCGTAGGGGTTGACGTGGGCGTCCTGCAGGGTCCGCCCGAGCTCTTTGTTGCAGCGCGAGCAGTTGACACAGGCCAGATGCCAGCGCCGCTCACCGCTCTTGGCGCATTCGTCTTCGATGGGCTTTCGGCAGACCATGCACTGGTCGGAGTCGTTGACAGCAAGGCGGGAAATGCTGGCCGTGATTTGCCACAGACTATCTTCAGGCTCATTCTTCAGGGCCTCGAGGGCGCTGATATCGTCGAGGAACTGGTAGAGGCCGTCGGGTGCACCTCGGTCTTTCTCGATGCGGAGGGCGCCTTGGAGGCAGATGCGGATAAGGAGCTTCAGGTAGTGTGCGAGGCTTGTGACAAGAGACAGAAGCTCTTGGGTCACACCGAGCTTAGCAGCGGAGGTATCCTGGGATTTTGATAAGAGAGAGAAAAAGGCAACAATCTTCTTGCACAAAAGCTTGGCCTCGCGGCTGTACGAGAGGCTCTTCATGTCCAACCGTGTCATGGTCGCATCCAGGTGGTCCGCTGAGCGGAAGAGAATCTCGACGTGACTGATAAAGCGCTTCGCAACAATGACACCGTCGACGTAGGCGCCGTTGCTGACGTGTAGAAGCATGTCCGAAATGCATGCCGCCGACGACTCTTCAAAGGTCGAGAGCACACTCCAGATGCGGTAGACCTTCTCCTCCATCTTCTCCTCGTCTTCGCGAACGCGCCGGCGGCTGGCGGCCTCGTCGGTCTCGGAGAGCGGTTCGACCGGTTTTACATCTTGTGGTGCAGTGAGCCGGACGTTCCAGAATTTGTGTATCATATAGCACTCTGGATGCCAGTGCTGGTTTTGGCCATTGCGGAAGATCTCGACGAACTGCTTGAGAATGGCGGTCTGGCAGCCATTGCAGCGTTGTGCAAACTGGGACGAGTAGTGGTAGTGGCAGTAGACATGGCCATCGTGTTCGTAGTAGCTGTCCTGGGCCCCGAAGACAGTCGGACAGAGGGAGCAGGTGAAATGGTCGACGTGGTATTTGCGATCGAGTGCGGTAATATAGGATCCTCGGAGGGCGCCGCCGCAATGGTAGCAAAGTAGACCCAGCCGGCGGAAGTAGTCTGTTTCGCAGAGCGGGAATTGGGGCCCACCGTTGCCGTCATCGGCCGGGAAGAACTTGGACGCAACAATCTGGCCACAATCCTGGAGGAAATGGTTAGTCGGGTAATGAGTAGGGTAATAAAATAATCGGGAGGTGTGCCCTATTGTCAAGATCGAGGTCTTACCTTGCAACGGAAACAGTCGAGGTGAAACGTGCCGTCCAGAGCGCGAACGAACTGGCCAGTCAACTGCTCCCCACACTTTTTGCATATCCGCACTTGGCCGCTCGCTGTCCTTGAGCTTCCTTGTTGTGAATGCTTCCGCTCTCCGCTGCGCCTTGGCTCCAGCTCTCGGTCCCGTCCACGGTCCAATTCTCGGCTGCGATCGCGGTCGCGGTCGTGTGTCCGCTCACGGTCGCCTCGTTGCTGTTCCCGGTAGCTAAGTCCTGGGGAGCCTGGTGGGTGAGGATGGCCGCCCATGTGGCCGTAGCCGGCGTCCCCGTAGCCACCGTCGCCGCCGTTCTGCCATGGTTGGCCTTGGCTCCGGTTGCTGCGGTTGCTGCGGTTGCTGCGATCGCTGTGGTCACGCTCCATCTGGTAGCCGCCGCTGTTGAGGGGCGGTGGTGGCTGGAGAGGGTTATGGATGTGGTCGTCTCGTACGCTGTTGTTATCGTAGCCGGACCCCATCGTGAAGGTCGGGTGTCCTGCAACGGGTGCAGGGCTGTGTTGAAGACAGCGGGGAAAAGAAAAAAGGTTCGAACTGGCCGTCGGTATGGCCACTCGTTGTTCGCCGGCCTCGTCTTCGCAGTCGTTATCGGTGTTTTGTTTTCGTGGTCTCTTCGTTTCTTCCGAGTTTTGGCGGGTCCTCCTGGCTCCGGCGTATTTTTGCACCAGGACAGGGTGCGCGCCCGCGACAAGTTGCCCGCCTGCAAATGAACGGTGGAGGCGGGGAGGGAAACGTGCCGGGCAGGCGAGCAGCAGGGCAACAGATAAAAAGGTCGAAACAGTCAAATTGCAGAGGACGATCAAATCGTCGAAACAGTCGCTCGATTGGGCAAATGGGCGACAGAGGAGGAGATACTGAGGCTGAGCTGGTCAGAGAAAAGCGGGCTTCTGGGGACGTCGGGCTGCTGTTTTCGTCCACACACGGCTGTGGCGAAGCCCAAAAGCTGATAGGCAAGGGGGAGAAGCAACAACAGAAGCAAGACGCAACGGGACGGGTGGGGAAAGAAACCGAAGGAGAGGGCAAAGCGAAGAAGACGAGCACGACGCAAACGCGGCGAGGATCAAGAATGAATAGAGATGGTGGAGGGTTATTTTTAGGCGGGGATTTTGGTAGGGTTGCTGGTGACACGGGGGTCGAGGAAAGTCGAACCTTAATTTTGGGGGACGTCTGAGGACGGGACGGGCAGAGAGAGCGCTTGTTTCGCTAGGGAGGCGTTTTTCTGACTGCACGAGAAGGTGACTGAGGTGACCAACGCAGCACCAGACGGCGTCGTCGCACGAGGACGAGACAGCTCCGGAACGAGACAGCCTTGGAAAGTCCTACGAGCGATGGGATTGGATGCGAGGTAGGTTGGACAGCGCGTCGGTAGGGAGAGAAAGACGAGGGCACACTGTCACTCGTCGGCGCCGAGATACGTATCGACGCGGTCGCATACGACGTGTACAGAATGGCGAGCGTACGTTGCGGTTTCGACGGAACGACAAAAAGGGACGTGACGGGTTCGTCGTTCGGGGTTGGAGAAGGCCAGCGGGCCAAAAACAAAGCCCCTTTAGCTCGGCAGAAAGTAGCGGCGTGGCTCGTTTTCGCGGTAGCCGGGCGTTAGTCGAGTCCCTTATTGTTGGCAGTTGGGTTGGCGTGGTGAATCGTTGGCGCGAAGAGACGTTGGAATGGGCGGTGCGGACGACCGTTGAAAATAGTAGGAAACGCAACGAAACCGACAAAAAACGTCGATGCAGCGACAAACGACGTCGTGGGCCTGCAATCCGTCTACAGGGCATGGGCAGGGCAAGAGCGAGCGGGAAAGAAGGGGGGAAGGAGGGGTGTGTGAGGTGAGAGGGGGGAGGGCAGGTACGACTGCAGGAGACAAGAGAGGAAACAGAGAAAGGGAAGGCGCGAGGCACCCCCAGTGGAGCAAGCCACAGGACTCCAGCAGAAACGACACAAGACGCCCCAGGGGAAGAGACAACGCGAGATGAAGGGCGGAGAACAGGGGCCAGGGGACCAGGACAAGCGCGAGCACCCAAAAGCGCACTGTAGCAGGCTGGCATAACGCTGTGGGACAAAAGACGGGGACCCGAAAAAGAAACGAGAAGGGGAACTCAGGGAGAGAACAGACATCCGCGGGGCACTAGTCCTGATTTTGCCTAGGTCGCCGTTTCTGGCCCGTGCGAGGCCCTTGACTTGTTCCCTCCTGCCCTGCCTGCGTGCTTTCCTTCTTGCCATTCCGTACGACATGCCAGTCGTTCTCACCTCATTCATCATTGTTCGACTCCCTGGTCCTTCCTCGCCAGCTCGCCTAGCTGCTCGCACCGTTGAACACGCTACAGACCATTGCCCCGTCATTAGAAAGGACCGTGCAGGCGATGGGGGGGGGTTTGCATTCCTTTGTACCTTGTACCTTTTCATCTGACGTTTTCATGTTCGGAAGGAAGCGACGGTTGCAGCACGGCGAACCGGCTCTTTCCATCTAATCTCTTATGCGGCTGCCATGGAAGGTGCGATGCTACGAACTTGTACTTCCCGTATGTCGTACTCCGTGTTGTATTGTGTATTAATAGAATAGTTAACGTCAAATTATCACAAAACAGTCTGCTGGGTTTCGGTATTGCCCCTTCGCCTTTGCTCTCCACCCCGCTGCTCCATGTCTGACATTCGTATCTGCTCGTTTCCCGCCCATCCGTATCCACTGAGCCACAGCCACTGGGCCCCCGCTGAGGCGATATGGAAGTGTCTGCAGCGGTGCAGCAAATGGCGCTGCGGACTGGTTCGTCGTCTGAATCCTGGTATCAAAGCCGTTTCGCGTGTTGAAGTGGCAGCTGCTCCCTACTGCACGGACTTGCTTTAGGCAGAAACCTTAAAATAACCACTGACAAGCAGCTAACATGCACAGTCCTTTTCCAGAGGAAACACTCTTTGTACTTCGCACTTCCCAGTCCACCTCAATCCACACCTCAGTTCGCCTCACTGGTCCGCGACCAGCTCCTCCTTCTCGCCTGCCTCGACCGTGCTTGGACGCTTTAACTGTCGGCGCACCAGCTTCTTCAGCCGCTTCTCAATCACCTCGCGGCCCTCGATTGTCCGCCAGATCTCGTGCGGCGCGTCCTCGACAATGTCCCAGCTCACCAGCGTGTGCGTCAGCTTGCTGAGGTCCTTTTGCTTGTCCTCCCAGGCCTTGTCGCGCTTGATCTGAACCCCCGACGAGACGAGGACGAGCGGCGTGTCCTGGTACTGGATGGCGCGGCTGGTGGTGGCGTCGCGCTTGGTGAGCGAGTTGGCCACGAGGCTCTCCTGGAGCTTGGCAAAGATGGCCTTGCTGCTCTGGTAGGCCGCGCGGCCCCAGACACGGTCCTCGCGGGTGCGGCCCTTGAAGAGGGCGCCGGGGATGCGATCGAGGCCGAGCGGCGAGAGGACGCCGCGCAGCCACAGACCGAAGCCGCGGCCGGAGGCGCCGACTCGCTCCAGCAGATCCTCGTGCAGCGGGTCGACCAGCAGCAGGCCCTCGATCTCGGCGCCGTGGCGCGACGAGAAAACGCGCGAGTAGATGGAGCCGATGCCGGCGCCGACCAGCACCCAGGGCCCCGTCTCGCCCGCCCGCGCCAGCGCCTCACTCAGCGCCTCGGTGGCCTGGCCGGCCGAGAACGGCGACGGCGCCGTGTCGCTCCAGCCGAGCCCGGGGCGGTCCGCGAAGCAGTAGCGGTTGATGGAACCGTTCTGGACGGCATTCTGCGCAAACTGCCACAGGCCGTTCTCGACGGGGCCCTCGCCGCCCTCAAAGAGCACGGTCGGCAGGTGCTCCTTGGACTTGGTGCCGTGGCAGTACAAGTGAATCTCGTACTTGTCGCCGTCCACCCAGTACCGGTGGCCGAGCGGCGCCAGGCCGGCGTCGACCGAGCGCAGAATCAAGGTGCAAAGCAACAGGCCCGTGACGACGCAGAGGACCAGCAGCGCAATGCTCGACACGGACACCTCAATCCACTCGAGCAACGTGCGGCGCGACTCCGGACGGCCGGTCAGGCGCTCCTCCTCTTCGCGCTTGCCCCACTGCACCGTGCGGTCGGCAACAATGGTCCACACGGCCATGGCCAGCGCCCAGGCGACACTGGTGATGCCGACCCAGCCCTCTTCGTGCCGGGTGCGCTCGACGGCGGCCGTGACGATGGTGTTGACGAACAAGAACAAGGCGACGATGCCCGTGATGACACGCACAGACTTGGACGGCGCCGCAAAGAACAGGAGGCTGACGGCGAGGCTGGTCAGCGCGACGGTGGCATAGGCGAACGCCGTAAAGGGCGAGCCGCGTGTCTGGAAGCCCGGCGGCGTGACAAAGAGCGACACCAGCAGCAAGATCCACCAGACCGAGGTGAGGAAGAGGAGGAAGCCTGTGAAATAGTGGGTGGCGCGGACGGAAAACAAATTGTAGGGCGACACGGCCGGGTCATCCGGGCTCAGGTAGCCTGCGTGGTTGCTGTCGATGCGGTTCGGCAGCAGGCGTGTCGTCTCGTCTGGCGGTGGTCCGGCAGCAGATGGCTGGTCGAGGCTGTCGCGGGAGGCCGACTCGCCGACCTCAGAGCGGCCAGCGCTCCGGCTGGAGTTGTTGTCCGCCGACTTGAAAAGCTTTTTCATCGTGTCGGTAGGCATTCAATACCTTGTTTACAGGCAACGTCCGGTAAGTTGACAAACAGGGGATGGATGCAACCAATAGAGTGAGATGATGGTTAAGAAGACTTCTAAAGAAACAAATTTCCGAAGGTATCCAAGAAACAACGGATATGGGAGAAAACAAGAAAGCGGGTCAATGCAGGTAATTAAGGGCTGGACTCTCTTCTTTTGAGTCAAAGCTCTTTCGACAAACAAAGAGAGGCGCAAGCTTGCTCCAAACTTTTGTTCCCCCGATCTCTACGATCTGCCGCCATCGGTCGATGACGTAGGCGACCATTGGCAGTCAGGAGACCTGTAAAATGCTGGAGCAGACCGCTGGTCATTAGCTAGTGGCGCTATAAAATTGGTGCGCATTAGAGCAGACCAGCCCTGTACTGCTCCATCAGTCCATACAGAAAGTAAATGGCCCATCTGGAAATGGGAAAGTGCCCAGCTGGCATACTTTTCTTTGACTGCCAGCTCTCGTGAAGGCTGCTCATTCCATTCGATGCAAATGGGCTCTGCTGCTCGAAAAGCATGCCAATGTCGGGTCGTGGCGAAATTGTACGAGAGAGATCGACAGAGGCATGAGACCCGCCTGTAATACAGGGCTCTTTAGGCCTTTCGCACGCTATGGCACGGAACATAGTGGTGATTCAATTCTGCTAGCTTATAGGCGGATATTTGCCATGGTCATGGCTGGGTTTCGCACGATTCTGAATACACGATGCCAAATCGTAAGGCTACGATGAAGAAAATATAGATTGTGCAGATAAATATGTCAAAACATAAACGCCTTTTGTACGCCAGTATGCCGTTTTCGATCCTCATCTCCTTCCACGTCTCCAAGCTCATGGCGGACAGCTGAGAGCACGTTCCTTTTTGATACCCAAACAGGGCCTCCGTCGACATTGCTCTGATAACGTATGGCCGTCTTGGGGCAGTTGTATCGTAGTATGGCCGGGACGGGACGGCAGAAGAACAAGCAGCCAAGCCGCCGACAGCCAGGCCGTCGACAGACGTCAGCCCAGAGACACACAACGACTGACGCGTGGGTATCCAATTTTGTCGTCCGAAACTGCACCCGACTGGCTGTGCTCCTCTTTCTCGCCATCGCATATTGCCAGCCTTTCCCGCTTGTATTCCCTTGCCACATTGTCTCCCGCTCAACGCTCAACCTGACGAGAACAGCGAGCTCTCGTCACGCAGGTACTCGCCGCAGTCTGCTTGCCGGAAACATACAATCGCCGTCGGCTCCACACGCCGTGCCTCGACCGTGCCGCGCGCCGTGACACCAAAGCCAATGGGGATGTCGTCCATGGTGACAACGACGATGCCCTGGTGCTCGGGACAGTCCTCGGAGTAGCGGCCGACGTGGGCCTTGAGGATGTTGCCGCCGTACAGAAACGGCATGACACCGTTGGGGCGGACCCAGATCTTGTAGCGGGCGTGCTCGGCGATGACGGGGAGGGCGGTGATGTGGAGGCGGAACTTGCCCGTCTTTGTGAATTTGCCTGGCAAGGTTAGCGGAAGGGAAGGCAACGCAGCGGCTTCTGAACGTCGACGGCGCCGGGGTCCTACCTAAGCATGTTCCGACTGATAGCAGCTTGTCGCGGGCGACCGAGGTGGCCAGGTTGGCGACCGACAGTAATACGTAGTAAACACGGTCGTGCGACAACCGGAAGACGTGGCGGTCGGCATCGGGAGAGTCGTCGATGGGCGCAATCAGGTTCTTTAGTGAGGCGCCAGTGTAGTCGGCGAGCTTCTTGAAGACCGTCTGGGTCTCTTCTTCAGTGAGAGGACGCATTGTCGCGCTGTGCGTGGGCTGGAAGAGATGATCGGGTGCTGGAAGTGCAAAATGGACCTCTACGGCAAGTTGCTTTCCTCGCCTCACCCAGAAACTTTTTCTGTAACTTTTTTTCCTTATCGCGATTTGGCTTTGCACTGTAGCGGCGCCGATAAGAAGACCCGCTTTTCTGGTGCGAGAGCCTCGTCCAGTATTTCGTAGTCCACTAGCGATAGCGGACATGCACCATCCACTATATCATCAAATTCGCACTTCAAACTGAGCGAGTTACCTTCAACATCTGGCCCTAGATGATGTACGACATGGTCTGTAGGTCAGCTCGTATATATGCTCTCTTCTTATATGTCAAAAATAAGCCGAAATACAGTCAAAATGTCTCTCAGAGCATCGCTAAATGAACCGCCTAATATGCCCAAAAATAAACAAAGCACGATACAAGGCATATTGCCTCGACATCAGTCAGCCATCAACATCGTCGATGCCGGCACCGTAGACATGCGCTCTGCCGTCAGCTTTAGGGATACCCGCAGCAGCTCGTTGGCCACCTCTGGGTCGTCCTTCTGCAGCTGCTGCCAGGCCGTCCGCTCGAGCACCCATACCACGCAGTCGAGGTCCGCATACACCGTCGCCGTGCGCCTCGTATCCGAGAAGAAGGGCAGCTCGCCGCACGTCGTGCCCGCGACAATGCTCTCGTGGTAGAACTGGCCGTGCGGCAGGTCGTATTCGGCCCGCACGATACCCTGTTCCAGCAGATAAAAGCCCTCGGCAGGTGCGCCGGCTTGGAAGAGCATCTGGCCCGCAGCAAACTCTTGCCGTTCAAAGTAGCGCGTGGCACGGAACCAAAAGTCCTCGTTCTTGTCGCTAATGTTCTGGAACACCTGCAGCATCAGCCGCAAGGGTTCGGCAAAGTTGTGCCACCTGGACTGGCGGCGGTCTTCCAAGCGGTTGATCGACTCCCGGGCGGCGGTCCGAAGAAGGTTATGCCGTGGCGAGCTGGCAAGCATGTCGACTGCAGGCCCCGACCCACTTCCTGTGCCGCTACCACCGGCTGGAGGATGCAGGTACGAGTTGACCGCCGGTGTGGCCGTCGCTTTCGATACTGCCTTTGAAGCGACGGCTGCACTTGCATCGCCAGCCGTCGACGCCTTGGCAATCTCGCTGGCCTCGGCCTCTTGGCTGGCATAGAGCGTCTTCAGCAGCTCGTTCTCGCACAGCTCAAGAGCCGAGTTGATGTCCGGCAAAAAAGCGACCTCGATACCGTCTTCACCGACACCCACCGCGCGCAGGTCATGGCCCAGAGCACGGTCCGCATCGACGCCACTCAGGACCAGATGGATCCCCTTCCCAGTCAGAAGGCGGCTGATTGTGTTAAAGGCCTCTCCCGCCGAGTAGTCCAGCCCCGTCACCTGGCGCAGGTCAAGAATCAGGTAGCGGATCGGCCGCTGGATAAACGCCTCGTCGGCAATCAGGTCGCGGATTTTCTGCTCCACACTCACAATCGTGCCAAAGAACAGGTAGCCGGCCACCTTGATAATGCAGATCTGCCGTCCCACCTGGCGCAGGTAGTGGTGCTGCGCGTGGTTGCGGCGCACTGTCGAGGTGACAATATCACCGGCGTACATGGCACGGACGGCCGAGACCTGCGACGTCTGGAAAATCAGAGACACAAACGCCAGCAAGATTCCGACGCCGATGCCCACGACAAAGTCATAGACACCCATAATCAAGACAATGACAATGACCTGCCAGAACGAGTCAGCCGCTGTTATACTTTGTGAAGTGTCTGTTCTGTGAAGTGTCTGTCTTACCGTTATATACTCGAGGGGCTTGAGCTTCTTGCGCGGCTGCCAGACAGCTTCGACGAGAAGCTCGAATCCAAGGTCAAAAATCAAGCATCCGACCATCATCACGGGGATAAAGCCAATGGTCTTGGGCCCAATCAGCATCACGCCGAACGTGAGAGCAGCCAGCTCAAAGCCTGCCAGACGGCTATCGCCGCCCGACCGCATGAAGAAGAGCGTGTTGGCATACACTAGGTAGTTCTGAATGCTACCCACACAGCCGGACAAAAAGTTGGAATAGCCGTGTAACTTCAGTTCGTGGTTCAGGTCGGCGTGGTCTTCGCCCGTGTTGAGTGCCAGGGCGGGCACGTTGATCGGGACGTGCAAGATGCCAAAAAAGGTCAAGGCAAACATGGCCGGAATACACTGGGCAATGGCTCCCCAGTGAACCTCATTAAATTCTAGAAAAACAACGTTAGCCGGGGTTATAATAGCGTTCGTGGCTGTAGCGTCGTAACGTACTGTATAATGTGTAGAAATACCACCACGGCTCGCCGGCTGGCGGGCCTTGGAACACCCAGCCATGGTCACGAAGATCCGATGGCGACGCGGAGCTACCGATCAGTGCAATCAGATAGAAGATGAAGGGAATCGTGATGATGTAGAGGGGAAGAAAGTATTTGTTGGTGATGTGCTTCTGTCCATAGAAGAGGACAATCGCGAGAGTCAAGGGAATGACCCATAGTGGCACAGTGTCGGGCTGTATCAGCTTCTGGAGCGTGTCGAGGTTGTACTCGAGGCTGCCCTCAATGCGTGCCGTCACTTCAAACCCGGTCGCAATCAAAAACCAGCCCACGCCACCAATGCAGCCGATGAGGATATGTCGTGGGATGAAGCCCACAATGTAGCCGAACTCGAAATGACCCATAAGGTAGAACACAGTACCTGTCACCATGGCACTGAGGGCGTACGATGTGATGGTCGTAGCAATGACAGCGTCGGGATGCTCTTCGCCCACCATGTCCGTGATAGTCAAGGCCATGCTATGGAAGAAGGGCACGACTTCGATCAACTCCGAACCAATGCCGCCTCTGAAGATACTCCCGCTCGAAAAGACAATCTGCGACACAATGGTACTAACATAAAAGATGGAGATGCCAGCCGCACCCAGGTGTGCGAATATAGGACTTCCTAGCGGGAACAATATCATGCCTAGAAAGAAAAGGAGGTCAGCAGCTACATTCGCAGCAAATGTGTTAATAAAACGCTCAAATATAACTCACCATATGAGAGTGCATCCAGAATATTAAGAAGCAAGCCGACGACGACAGCCGGGAGGCACGCGATGGGCGCGACAACCACGTTTTGCCACAGGCGTCTGCGGTCCCACCACTTGAGGTTCTTAACATTCCGGTAGGTTTTCTTGAATTTGTCCCGGACCACGATCGTCGGGTTATGTGTAGGTCCGTCTTGGCGCCGGTCGAAGATACCCAGAATCCGCCTCCGCATCGTGTTCATCTGTCCCTCCAAATCGTAGCTTGCGTGGCCAACAGACCCATTCGGAGCACTCGAGCTTCCCAAGAGGAGTGTTGACTCCGTGGGCACATGTGACGCGAAGTTTGTTCCGTTGACATGCCCGCCGGCAGCCGACGAGGACAGCCGACCCTGCTGGCGCTGCGAACCAGGCCGAAGCTCGTCGCCATCCTCTTCTGCGTCCGAAAAGACAGCGTAGCTGTCGCTCCTCTCACGCCCAAGGGCACCCCGTAGTTGGTAGATGCGCCCACGGTATGCGTATGCGTCATTGCGGGATTGTGTCTGTTCGCCCTGGTCTTGTTGTTGTTGCTGGTTGTTGCTAGTCGAGGCAAAGGGGCCTCCGCCGGGCGTATGTGGGGGCGAGCGCCGCAACGCTCTTGTCAACAAGGAGGGGCTCTCGCCAAAGGCAGCGGTGTCGTCGGATTCCTCGTCTAACGAGGGTGACGGTTCCGGTTCCGACGTTTCCTCAATAGGCTCAGGGTCCCGATTAGCGCCGCTCGTGTTGGCAGCTGTTGGAGAGTCAAGGTCATCAGCTTCCACGTCCGAGGAGACGGTGGTTCGGAAGGAGAGTGAGCGGTTGCGATCGAGGATAGAAGAGTTTTGGCGCTCGGTCTTGTCGGCAAGCTGGTAAGTGGCAAGCTCAGCCGTGTCTTCGCGTACAGATCGTGCTTGCAGCTGGCTACTGACGGGAGCTAGAAAAGGGCGACAGAAGCGTTAGCAGGTGCTTTCACATGACAAGGCAGCGCAGATCTCGTACAGGTGCTCCTACCCAAGTCCCGCTGTGCAGGGTTGATAAAGGAGCGAATGGGCTCCCTGTGACTCGTCGAAGCTACAGACGACGAGAGCTGGTGCTGGCTCTGGTGATGACGACCGTCCTGGCTGTGGAAAGGTTCCCGGGGCGCGACCACGGAGCTGATAGAGCGAAGCCGGCCGCGGCTGTCATGACTGCTGGCGCTGTCCTCTGAGGCCACGGACTCAGCTCGCCGACGGCCCCAAGCCGTAAAGGCAAACCCAGCCGGAGGTGTCGAGGACATGGTGGCGGAGAGGGGGAAAGACGATGCGCGCTGGCGTCACTTATTTCGGTTTGTCGTGTGACGTCTATCGTCGACCTTTGCCCACAAATGAGCTGCACACCGGTTTATGGCAACAGCATAGTGGGAAAAGCAGTTTAAAACAAAAGAAGAAAAGATGCAGAGGACAATTGAGTCGGGAGAGGATTGATCGGGTTCCCAGAAATGTGAGGTCGCCGGTCTCGTTCGAATCCGGGGCAGCTAAATTAACGACGACAGAAAAAAGTGGCGTCAATGAAGTAGGCGACTTTAGTCTGTTGATAACGGACAGCCAAAAGCTGCCAGGGTGCCAAGGTGATTTTTCAAGGAGCCGACCAAAAAGTACGACGTGCACAAGCAGCCAAGACACGCGTAAAGAAGTGCAAACGACGGCCTTGCAGAGAGATTGTTGGATGCGTGATGACGACACAACTTCTCGACCATCAATTGTGCAGAATAAAATCTGACGACCAACAGAGCCCTGCGCACAAGATGCAAATGGCCAAAGCCTTCTCTACCAACACGCTACAGAAGCTAGGTGACTAGGGTAGCTTCTGCTGCGGCCAAGGATCGACGATGGTGTCGAGGCGAGATCAGGGTGAAGAGGGGCAGAGGAGCAAAGAAAAGTGGGCAGTGAGTGAGGAGAGGGCTTTAACTTGGGCGACGGGACTAGCGAGCAACTGGAGCTGCCGTGATGGGGTTTTTCATGTTTTATGCTCCGTCCCTCTTTCCCTCACCTGGATTCCGTTATCTATCACTCAAGCTAGCGCTTTCCCTTTGGTAATGCCCCTTATGAACAGAAACTTGCAATGCATTGGGCATCTTCCCGAGGAAGGGACTACTCGCATGCCTTAAAGCACGCCCAGGAAGCTGCGAATGGCTGCGCGATCAACACGTGCAAGAACATCGGCAGGAGACGCTGCCTTACGTTTCATTGAAAACAGCAGGAGCGATAGTGCAACTGCTGTCGCCATTATAATTGACTGATTTGTCGTCAACACAACGACGGAAGGCGCGAATTGGCGAGGACACGCACAATAGCAACAGCAATGGTCTAGATCGCGGGACAAAAGAGGAAAGAAGAGGTCGGTTTTTGGCTGCAGGACCAAGAAAAAGTGGACATCGTGCAATGTCTTGCAGTACAGTGTGAAAGGCTGCAGGTCATACGCTTCAGAATGGCTTTATCCCATCACAATTGCGTCTTCTGTGCGACTGATGGTTCAAAGATGAGGACGCTACAATCAGTCTGAAGTGTAATGGTCTGTACCCCATACAGAATAAAGTATATATTGTGTATTCTATTTGCGACTTTTCCGCGCTCAATTGCGTCTACAGACTCTTTGTCCATGTCCCGTCTTGAACTCACTCTTTTCCAGCCAGATGATACGCTTGATGTGCACTGTACAAAGTAGAATGCACAGTCCAGGCGAGGCTGTCTGCAGGCTCTTTTCAGTGCCGCAGGAGCTTCAACGATGTGAAAACTTCATTGGCCATGTGGGCATGCAAAAACGGGCCATGCAGGCGCCGGGGACTGCAGCTGTTTGTCACACCAGCTGTCACACCCAGACCGTTGCATTGTCTTAAAAATTTCAACGGCGAGTACCACATCGAGATGCGGGCTGCCGTATGCGATGGCCTCGTGGTCTGAACAGACTTTTCTGTGGACGGCCGGGCATGGAATGTGTTGCATGTGTGTACTAATATGATTGTATAATGGAATACACACGCAGGTGCACATATCTGGCTATTCTATGCTATATAACCCCGTAAATAGACATCTGCAGCCCCCCACGGAGTCGAACCCGTGAAGGAGGGGCCTCGGATGACCATTTCGCAGTGCTTCAACTTCAGTCGGTCCCAGTCGTTCTGCAGGAAAGGACCTGCATGTCTGTTCTTTCGTCGGAGGATTGGATCTCCTTTGCGGCTAAGAACCAACAAATGAACCTGTCGTGGTATCGAGCCTGTCCTCGCATGTTGTTCTGCTCGCACATCGTGACATATTTACACTTGTCGATAGCGTCTTGCCGAGTGCTTCTTCTCGCTGAGTGGCCTGCCGGTCGCAACGATGTGCACTGTCTCGCGACACAATGCTTCCGTTCTCGGCGCGATGCGAAGTACGTGAACACGGTCTGTGGTTTGCTTTCGTTGCCATTGCTGTCCTGCCAGTGCGTTATTTGTTTGTCATCGACGAGGCGCTATTCTGTTGCATCAATGGCATAGCAGAATAGCAAATGTTGCCAAACACCAATGAATTCACAAACGCGTACGACTTTGGTAATGTGCCGCCCGGAGCAGTTCCAGCCAGCGGCAATCGAGAGACGAGCTGCTCATCCCAGTTTCTGAAGGTATCCCTGGGCAATCAGCCGCTCGACATCGCCCTGGCGAACGTAAAACTGGCTGTTGCGGCTCAGTGTGATGGATCTGTGGAGAGTTAGAAAAGCGGACGCGGAAGGCCAATTCCACTACAGCATCAAAGACAACCTACCCGTATTCTGTCTGGATCTCGCCCGCGTCTTTGAGGACGCGCACATCGATAAACAAGTCCCGTGGCGGCTCCAGGCTACCGGTCAAATCGATGTCTGTCCACTGGCCCTTGTACGCCGCCAGCAGGTCCGAGTACTGGCGCACATAGTCTTCCTCCTGCGGGCTCAGGCTGCTGCTGGTGTTGCTCGCCTCGGACGAGAGGCCGTTGTCGCCCGCGCCACCAGCACCACCAGATCCCCCACCCGCTCTGTAGCCTGCGCCGCCGCCGCCGCCCGCTCCAGCACTGCCGCTGGCGTCGCGCACCTGCTGCACCGACAAGTCGACCACGTCGGAGCCCTTCCACACGAGCTCCTCGAGCTTGTCGGTGCGTGTCCGGTGGTAAGCGAGGAGACAGCGTTTGTTGCGGCGCATGGCCAAATGGTCAACGAGCAGCGCGCAGGCCGTGGCCTGTTCGACGGACGGGTCGAAGTTGCCCTGGAACGGTTCCAGGAGTTGGGCAACATCCTTGTCAAGGTCGCGGACTTCACGCGTCACAGCGCGGACGATCTCGGTCTGGTAGGGCGGCAGGTGCGCCAGGTTCTGTGTCCGTTTGGCATGTTGGACCTGGAGGCATAAAGTCAGCACGGTACAGAATGCCACAGCAAAATAAAAAGGACTTGCAGAGACAACGACGACAAACGCACCAGCTTGTTACCCAGGTCTCCGTACATGGCTGTGGCGAACAAAAAAGCGAATTGGGACAGAAGCAGACAACAAATCGAAGTGAAAAAGGCCAACGCCGGCGAACATGTGCTGTTCTTGGGGCGTGGAGCGGCGTACGTGTCGCGAAGTATGATGTATGGCTGACGTTGGACGATGTTGACATGCAGTCAGTTAGCAGTAAGTAGCTCGAGACGTCAAAGTCGCGTCGCGGCCAGGCGCGAACAGCCAATTACGCTACCACTAATCCAGCACCAAGTCCGGTCCCACAGCAGGCTCAAATGCGCCAACCCGAACGTACCCCACCATGCCATTGGCATCCCGCCTTCTCCAAAATCTCTTCCTGGGCGGTGCCTGACCTCAGCGGCGACAGCATATCGCCATGTCACATTTCACACGTCACCAGCCATGCAGCACGTTGGTAGGGGATCCAAAATGGTCGTCTCCTTGTCTATGCATTTTTTAAATCTTTTTTGCGTATATAGGGGGGCGTGCAATGTTTTCGTCTCATCCCATACGTTTCGACATGTCAAACGTCTCTCATGTTTTTTTTGCTTGTTCCCAGGATTATTCCCAGGATCATGTCATGTCCATGTGGTCATCCATCCAAGCTCGCTTACAACACCCTCACATATCAGCAAGTAGACAAAGTCGTCAAAAAAATGACGCTTCTTACAGCTTCTGCATGGCAACAACGTCGGACGACTGGACGTAGTCCTCGAACTCGGCAATCTTGTCCTGGAGATCGTCCAGGGAGACCTTCTCGTCCTCGACGACCAGGGTGATCTGCAGCTTCTTGATGCCGAAGCCGACAGCGACCAGCTTGGACAGACCCCAGACGAGGCCGTCCTGGTCGATGCTGCGGACAGACTCCTCCAGAGCCTTCATGTCGGTCTCGTCGTCTGGTGTTGTTGTTAGTATGCAGGCAAGAGGCAAGTACGAGACACGTACTCAAGTACTCAATAGTAAAAACGTAGAGCAGAGACTCACCCCACGGCTTGACATCCAGCGTCACAACCGACTTGGCCGCCGGCTTGACCTTGCCCTCCTTCTTCTTGCGGTACTCGGCGAGACGCTCTTCCCGGATACGGGCAGCCTCGGCGTCCTCCTCCTCGTCGTCGCTGCCGAACAGGTCGACATCGTCGTCGTCCTCCTCAGCCGCCGGGGCCTTGGCAGGGTTGATGGTGACCTCGGCGACCTCGGGGCCGTAGGCGGTGTAGGGCTTGGAGGCGTCACCGGACAGGGTCGCGAACTCGTCCTCGTATGTGGCGATGTGCTTGTACCACCGCGCAGCGTTGGGGTACTTGTCAGCCGCCGGGGCCGACTTCAGGGCCTTGAAGACAACAACATCGGCCTGGGTGGCATTGTGGCTGTTGGGAAACGTTAGCAAGCGTCCACAGAGACACGAGCAAAGTGACAGATGCCCCGGAGGGAAAGGCCCTAAAAACAATAAAAAACCAAAAACGTAACAAAACATAAAAGATCAGAGACGCAACTGCGTTGCAATAGATAGGTCGTCATTTACAGGTCTTGAGTCTGCTCGGAAACACGGACCAATTGTTCTCATCATAAGGTGTTTTGCAAGGGGAATTCGTCTTGTCCGAGGACAACAGCGAGAGCGCAAGCAAGGCAAAAGACGGAGAGTTGCAACTTACTCAACAATGTACGACCGGGTGGTCAGGTAGCTGTTCAGAACTGCGAATTGTCGGTCAGCGTTGGACAGCCCAGGCCGCCGGCAGACGAGCCGCGCAGCGCATGAGTGAAGCAACGAGCGAGAAAGCAGAGAAGAAAGAATAGAGCAGAGGCGAAGAGACAGAAGCAAAAAGAACAAAAAAACGAGTCGAATCAAGAACGAAGAAAAGAAGGCCCGCGAGGCAAAACAGCGCAGAACGTACCAGCAAGGCCGGCGTCGGTGAGCAGATCCGTGAAACCCATTGTGACAGGTAGAAGCAGAGTGAAAACTTGGTCGAGAAGAGTAAGAGAAGAAGAAAAAAGACAGACAAGGAGGAATGCGAAAAGGGGGAAATTAACAGCTTGACGGAAAATTTCAAGGGGAGGTTGGCGATGGTAGGAACAGGAAAGTGCTGGTGGGGAGGTGCGGGCACTGGACGATGGGCAGTGGTGGGACGCAGGGCCTTTTTGGGACGAAATTTGATTTTTATTTTATTTTTCTGCCCGTCGCTCTTGCCTATTTCTTCGTTCGCCTGGTAGCCACGAAACGGCGCAACGTGTTTGCTCTTGGGCCGCCTCTAGACTGCTTTAAAAAAAAAAAATTAAGCGGGCCACTGTTGGCGGGGCAGGCCAGGCTGTATTGCAATACACCCTATATCGACTTACAGGGGTAAAAAACAAATCCCTGTATATGCATATTGGACAATCCGAGCGCTAAGTGGGCTGTCCGATAAAGGATAAGGCCTGGAAGCTTCGGTGTAGCTCCCCGAAGATACTCGAACGATCTCGAGAACGCCCCAATATACCGACAACGACGAGGAGCTTCGGATGTCCGCCAGACGACCACACCACGAAGATGGTATATACAGACATGGTTATTGGATCACAGCAGACGCGTCGGAATTGAATTTCTGATCTGACACACTTTTTCGGCACATTTTGGCCTGCCCCCGCCAACATCGCCATCGACAACAATGCTTGCACGAAATCAGATCCTCGCCAATACCACAAGGCGACAGCTCCTCTCAGCAGCTGCCAAGTCTAAAAATGCTCCGTCCAGCAGCCTCCGGGCCAGTCGCTTCGCCGCCTTGAACACAGCCGTCCCCAGCTTCACATCGCCCGTAGCGCACACCTTCCAGTACCTGCCCATCGGAGCTACCCGTTCCTATGCCAATGGCCGTCCACATCCGCCCGGCGGCACCCACCGCATGGACATGGGCGGCGGTGAGGAGGAGAAGCCTGCGCTGGAGCAGTTTGGTATTGACCTGACGGCCCGGGCGCGCGACGGCAAGCTGGACCCCGTCATTGGCCGCGACGAAGAGATCCAGCGGACTATCCAGGTGCTCTCGCGGCGCACAAAGAACAACCCCGTCCTGATCGGCAAGGCCGGCACCGGAAAGACGGCGATTCTCGAGGGCCTCGCCCTGCGCATCGTGCGCGGCGACGTGCCCGAGAGCATCAAGAAGAAGCGCGTCGTCAGCCTCGACCTGGGCTCGCTCATTGCGGGCGCCAAGTTCCGCGGCGACTTTGAGGAGCGCCTCAAAAAGGTCCTGACCGAAGTCGAGCAGGCCAATGGGGAGGTCATCTTGTTCATTGACGAGCTGCACACGCTTCTGGGTCTCGGCAAGGCCGAGGGCTCCATCGACGCCTCCAACTTGCTCAAGCCGGCACTGTCCCGCGGCGAACTGCAATGTTGCGGCGCCACGACGCTCAACGAGTACCGCTTGATCGAGAAGGACGTTGCGCTGGCCCGCCGCTTCCAACCGATCCTGGTCAACGAGCCGACCGTCGAGGACACCATCAGCATCCTACGCGGCATCAAGGAGAAGTACGAGGTGCACCATGGTGTGCGCATCACCGACGGTGCGCTGGTGGCCGCTGCGACCCTGTCGAACCGCTACATCACCGACCGCTTCCTGCCCGACAAGGCCATCGACTTGATGGACGAGGCCGCCAGCTCGCTGCGCCTCCAGCAAGAGAGCAAGCCCGAGGACATTATGCGCCTCGACCAGAAGATTATGACGATCCAGATCGAGCTCGAGAGCCTGCGCAAGGAGACGGACATTGCCAGCCGCGAGCGACGCGAGAAGCTCGAGAAGGACCTCAAGGCCTACCAAGACGAGGCGGCATCCCTGACGACGCGCTGGGAGAAGGAGCGTGAGGAGATTGACGGCATCAAGCAGGCCCAGAGCGACCTCGACCGCGCCCGCATGGACCTCGAGCGTGCCCAGCGCGAAGGGAACTTTGGCCGCGCCTCGGAGCTCCGCTTCGGCATCATCCCCTCGCTGGAGCAGAAGGTCAACAGCGACAAGCAGGGCAAGTCCAAGGCGGCGTCTTCGCCTGCTGCGTCCGACAGCGATGCGGCCCCTGTCGAGACCTCCGGCACCGACATCGCCTCGGACGGCACCCTCATCCACGACTCCGTCACCGCCGACGACATTGCTACCGTCGTCTCTCGCATCACCAGCATCCCTGTGGCCAAGCTCACCTCGGGCCACATCGAGAAGCTCGTGCACATGGAAGAGACGCTGCGGCAGTCCGTGCGCGGCCAGGACGAGGCGCTCAAGGCCGTCGCGGATGCCGTTCGGCTGCAGCGTGCTGGCCTCTCGGGCGACAACCGGCCGCTCGCGTCCTTTTTCTTCCTGGGCCCCACGGGTGTCGGCAAGACAGAGCTGTGCAAGAAGCTGGCCGGCTTCCTGTTCTCCACTGAGTCGGCCGTGGTCCGCTTCGACATGAGCGAGTTCCAGGAGAAGCACACCATCTCGCGCCTCATTGGCGCGCCCTCAGGCTACGTCGGCTACGATGACGCCGGCCAGCTGACCGAGGCCGTGCGCCGCAAGCCGTATGCCGTTCTGCTCCTTGACGAATTCGAAAAGGCGCACCGCGACATCTCGGCACTCCTCCTGCAGGTCCTCGACGAAGGCTACCTGACCGACGCCCAGGGCCACCGCGTCGACTTCCGCAACACCATTATCGTCCTGACGTCCAACCTCGGCGCCGATATTCTCGTGGGCAACGACCCTCTGCACCCCTACAAGGAGACCGACGACGGCAGTGTCGACCCCGCCGTCCGGGCAGCTGTCATGGACGTCGTCTCGGCAAACTACCCGCCCGAGTTCCTGAACCGCATCGACTCGTTCATCGTCTTTAAGCGCCTAGCCCGCGCCGCCCTGCGCGACATTGTGGACATTCGGCTGCGCGAGCTGCAGGGCCGCCTGACCGAGCGCCGCATCACGCTCGATGTGACGCTGCCCGCTCGCGACTGGCTCGCCGACCGTGGATACGACCCCAAGTTTGGCGCGCGGCCCCTCAACCGTCTGATCACCACCGAAATTAGCAACAACCTGGCCGACAAGATCATCCGTGGCGGCGTGCGGACGGGTGATGTGGCCACGATCACGGTCAAGGAAGACGGCTCTGGCCTCGATGTGGCGACGGCGGCGCCAAGCACGGTCACGCCAGCACCCGCCGACGACGCCGCAGCTACGGAGTCGTCATAACAACCCCACTTACTTAAAAATTAAAAATTAAAAATTAAAAATTAAAAATTAAAAATTAAAAAAAAGGCATTAGTCGACATCGGAGCAAGGTAGCAAAAGAATCACAAGGGCATAAAAAAAATGATATCATGGGACATCTAGGGGTGGGACATTTCAAAAACTGGACTTGAGGTGTTTTTACTGGATTATATTTGGCATATTTGTATTTACAGTTTTGGGTTTTCGGTTTATTTTTCTTTCATTCCCTCTTGTGACATTATGCAAACATGTTCTGTATTATCGTCCGAAAGAATTTAACCATCGTAACTCGGGTTCGTTTTAAGACTTTTGATAAAGTATGAACGGACGGTCCACGTCATTTTTGTTTAGATTTTGTTAGACGTTTCCAAGAGTCTCAAATTTATTGTCTCGTCTTCTTATCTCATAGAATAAAACAAACACTACAGTCAACCTTGGCCATATACCAATATGCCTTTGGAATTAAAATAAAGTGGTCACACGCGGCATAAAATAGTACAGCCTGAGGTGCGCTTTGGTAACAGTGTACGGACAGCAGTTAATCCTGTTGGGAAATAGACTCTTGTTCAAGTGTTCCATTTTTTGCGAATAAAACAAACGAAAAGTACAGAGCTGTTCGTAGCAGAGGTTTACAGGATTGATTGGGATTGAGTGTCTGCGGTTGACGGGTGGTAAAAAAGAAAAAGAGACTGGTTAGGTACGAGAACGTTGAGACATTTTGAAAAGAAAAACAAAGAGATGTAAACGAGACGAGAAAGAAGGCGTGCGAACAAGGAACCAAGTTGAAGAAAGAGACACCGAATCAGAGCGAAGACTGCGGCGGAGGGGAAATCAAACACCAGCAGCCAGATGGACATACAGCAGTGAGAAACACAAAAAAATATAATAGAAAATAAAGACAAGAACCGAGTAACAGAAGGGGAAGAAAAAAAGCGCCTGGGATGAAAAAATAAGGGAGACGGATTATAAAACAGGCATAAAAAGCACCGTGCAAAAAAATAAGTCTTTCTCTTTTCTCAAAGAGGCCCCCAAACCCTTTCCCATCTTGCCCTCGGTCTGCCGCAAGTCTTCGCTCTCCCTCGTATGTTTGTCGTTACCCTCTTTCAACGTCCCTGCTCGTTCTCACTCTCACGCAATCTATCTCCCCCTTCGTCCCCCAGCGCCTGGTTTCATAGGATGTTGCCGATGTTCGCCATCTGTTTACTGGCTAGCCTGGCTCTTCTTCAGTGCACCCGAAAGCCAGTCAAGTCCCTCGTACAGACCGTCACCGGACGTGGCGCACGTCGACTGGATGAACTAGAGAGGAGAAAAGTGTCAGTTGTCTGATTCGCCGCATGAAGTAGAACAGAAACAAATTACGACTGAAGCTTACCCATTGGCGTTGCCGCATGCTGTGGAGACCGAGCTTATCTGTGATCTCGGCGGCGTTCATGGCGTTCTAGACAGAGTATAGTTAGCATCAAGAAGTTGGGTTGCTATGACGGGGAATGTGCTGGTCGGTGGGAGAACATATGGCTACGGTCCAAGCAAGGGATGCCCCAAAACTGGTCCGCCAAATCGGGAGAAAGAAGGCCAACACCCCAGGACAAAGAGAACTGGCCACGCGCTTGAAAAGCGTTGAAAGCGGAAATTGAAACAAAAAATGGGAAACCGAAGGAAAGACGTGGGTGGGATAAACGTACGGGCAGATCCTGCTTGTTGGCGAAGATCAGGAGGACAGCGTTGCGGAGCTCGTCCTCGTTGAGCATGCGCTGCAGCTCCTCGCGGGCCTCGATGATACGGTCGCGATCGTTGGAGTCGACCACGAAGATGATGCCCTGGGTGTTCTGGAAGTAGTGTCTCCACAGAGGGCGGATCTTGTCCTGTCCTCCGACATCCCACACGGTGAACTGGATGTTGCCGTACTCGACGGTCTCGACGTTGAAGCCTGCAAAGCGGTATTAGTCAGGTCCAAGAGATGGTCCAAACGGGCGGTCCAACGCCAGCCATCGAGGCCTACGTACCGATAGTGGGAATCGTCGTGACAATCTCGCCAAGCTTGAGCTTGTACAGAATGGTGGTCTTTCCGGCAGCGTCAAGACCGACCATAAGAATACGCATTTCCTTCTTGCCAAGGAAAGAGGCAAAGATTCGGGAGAAGTTGAGACCCATGTTTGCGGCTGGGAAGCGGTGGTACTAGGTGGTTCCGAAAGAAAAGAAAAAGAAAAAGAAAAGGGGGGAGCGAGCGAGATAGACGACGAAATACGAACGGCTGATCTAGAAGATTACCAAACGAGGGACGCGTTAGCAAAGCTGCGATTTGGGCTTGGATGCGCTGCGAAACCAAACCGGAAACGATCACGAGACCAGGCAGTTTGTGAAATTCAGAGGCACGAAATGTAGGAAACTAGGAAGGCTTTGTTGCCCGACGTGGGGTATGATTGGGAGAGTGTGTGGGTGGTAAATGGGAAAAGGCGGGATGATGCAGGTATGGCGCAAGAAAGCAGATACTCTCCTGGCCACTGCTGTCGTGCGCCGTGCCGACCAGATATAGTGGCAGGAAAGCATCGCTAGGCCGACAACCATTAAAAGAGGACAGATAATTTGACAACGCCACATGGTTGCTGCGAGGACAACATCACGACTTCTGCAACCATCCGATAGCAGGAGAGAGCTCTGTCGCAGGCAGCAGCACAGCAAGAAGGGGGCTGGGACGATGGAGTGAGGGGGTCTAGGTCTGGCAGGATGAACTCCGTCTAAAGGCTGCCGTAGTCTGTGTCTGGCCGTGTCCTGCTCCTGTGTATGGCTTTGATCGATGTCCGCTTTGAACCTGCACCTGGCTAGAGATCCGGTCCAGGCTCCGAGATTAAAACACCAAGTGAACACCGTATCAGGAGGTGTGGAGGAAATCACGGGTGGCAGTCTGTCAAGTCGATGCCGGGCTCCCTTTGACGGCTGCCTTGGGATTGGAGGAAGCTGCATGGGCGTTCACCAGCGGACCAAGGCGGCGGTGCACGCCAGTCCTGCATAAAAACTCTCGGTGGCGCATCTCGAAAATATCGGGTTGCGAAACTTGTGGCTTGATCCGAAGGCGAGCAGAACGCGATGTGCCAGATAACAGGGAGGCCATAGGCGGACAGTCCAACGACAAGACATCACGGTGGTGTACCAGGAGACAGGGGGAGGAGACGACCAGTCGATGCTAGCATCGTAGGGCTGACGTGCAGAGGACAAAGGGAAGCCATTAGGGAAGATGATGCCAAAACAACAACAGGAGCAAAGGAGTGACGATATTCCAGGGGGTTGACAAGCTGCGGGCCGGATGAAAGCCGCCGTGTGGTCTTGTTTGTCGCTTCGATTGGGGACAATCGCAGTGCAAAGCACAAAAAGCAGGAAAGGTGCTCACCTCGAGGATGGAGTCGGGATTCGTGGTTGTAGACGGGTGGTGGGTGGAGGTGGTTCCGGTGTAGAGAGGAAGTGGGAGAGAAGAGAGAGAGATCAGTTGGGGTGAGGAATAACTGGGTGATTTATCGCGATGTGGCCAAAAGTGGGATTTGTCGGTGTGTGGACTCTGTGGACTATGTGGACAGTGTGGACTGTGCGAGCGAGGAAGGAGGGACTGGGACGAAAAAAAGGGAAGGGGGAAAGAGCGGAAAGGGGGGCCTTGGAGGGGGTAAAATTTGAGACCAGAGCACGAGGAGGCTGGGGGAAGGCACTGACGGGAGCCGTGATTGTGCTACCGATACTGCTGGCTCGACTCGTTTGTGCTGATAGGACTTTTCGCCTCCCCCTTTTGCTTGTTGGATTGCGCGGGTCGCTCTTGCACTGCCTGCCTGGGACTGGAACAGTGCGTGGTGTGTCTTAAGCCTGGTGGACAAGGCAGGAACGAATCAGCGTCCTTGGGTACGAATGTACGAAATACATTTACGATCAAAACTGTCTTCAGCGGCCTAGGGGTAGCTTCAAAGAGGGGTTGGTTGGGCGCTGCTGACAGGTGCCTGTTGGTCGCCAGCGCTGTAGCTTTCGCGTCTAGGTGCTGTGGAGGGAAGGCTCGAGGGTCTTTCCAGGGAGCGAGACAGGAGGGTCCGCCGAGCCAGACTCAAAGAGACAGGCAGGACAGTGGGTATCAGTGGGTATCATAGTGGGGTTCGCAAAGGGGTAGCGAACTTGAGGCCACTGCGCACTCAATTGGCCGGATCATTTCTCGGGCCGGTTTATCTGGAAGGGGACCACCTGTAAATGGGCAGCAGCACGAACGTGCTGTTTGAGATTCACGTGCTCGCCTCAGCGTACAAAGTATGCCCGTATTCAGTACTTACCCACTATAATTGGCTCTTCCGCTACGGACAACCAGCTCCAGGCCTGGCCACTGAACACAGCACAGCTCCAGCGCCAACGCCAACCAACCGCGTTCTGCCCTGCGTCCCATTTGCTAGGGCGGGTCCCCAATCGCGAACTGGCAAGCTGTCTCCTTTCTGGGTCCCCTTATCCCTGGAACAACACGTAAAAAAGAAAGGGGCCGTTTCTCACGATTTCCACCACTTTGTCAACCACACGCGATCATCGACGACAGAGGCGAACGGCGTACGGCTTGACAACGGAATTGGTCGGTTTCTTCTTTTCTTGTTCACTTCTCGACTCTCCTTCATTCTCTTCTTCGGCTTTCGTCCTCGACACAATGGTTCGCCTTCTTTTCGGCCTCTTGGCTGCTGGCGCGGCCCTCGTCCAGACCGTCGCCGCCCACAACATCCAGCTGCCGGCCCACGGCCGCGAGTGCTTCTTCGAGGACCTGCACAAGGACGACAAGATGACCGTGACCTTCCAGGTCGGCGACCGCGAGTTTGGCGGCGCAGGCAACCTGGACATTGACTTTTGGGTGAGATACCGCCCCGACCCCAGACTGGTGCCGGCCATGTTGTACGTTTGTACGATGACACCACATTCGCTGACGCTCGCTGCCTAGATCACCAACCCGCCCGGCCAGTACGAGACGCTGCAAAAGTCCACGTCCAACGGTGACTTTACGTTTACGGCGCACCACGACGGCAAGTACATGTACTGCTTCAGCAACGAGCACTGGGGCGCGTCCAGCAAGGAGGTGTCGTTCAACGTGCACGGCATAGTATACGTGTCGGATGCCGACGGCCCCAAGGACCCGCTCGAGGCCGAGGCGCAGAAGCTGTCGGAGATGCTGGCCCAGGTCAAGGACGAGCAGTCGTACATTGTTGTGCGGGAGCGGACGCACCGCAACACGGCCGAGAGCACCAACGCGCGGGTCAAGTGGTGGAACCTGTTTGTGATCACAGTCGTTGTCGGCGAGTCCATCTTCCAGGTGTGGTGGCTGCGGCGGTTCTTTGAGGTCAAGCGGGTCATCTAAATGACGGCTGACCGGGCTTGGGAGTGACGGATGGGTGTGGGAAAGGCATCCACAACAAGACCTTGGGTGAGGACAAGCATCAAAGGGGAGCGAACTAGCACAGACGTGCATCTAATCATCAACGACCACGAAACAAAAGAGAACCCGCCACGAAACGATACGAAGCGAGTTATTTTTGGCGCGCGCATACACAAAGTCTCTGGTGCAGGTCTTGGCAGATCTGCTATTATAGACTTCAACTTCACGTTTTTTATCATATGTATAGTTATCATTTTCTGTTACAATACGGGACGAGGAAAATACATCAAACAGCATTTGCTTTTCATTCCTCATTATCAAAACATCTATTACCGTAGCCTTCTAGGATATACACTGGCGCCACCGTGTTTGCTGATGGACGTCATGCCAAGACAGTACTAGAACATCACAAGACACTCTTTGATCCAAGGCAAATAAAAACAGACGAGAAAAAGGCAAGCAAATGTATACAAAAACGACACAAAATGTGCCAGCCCGGAAACCAAACGCCATTGTCATGCCCGGAAAAGAACAGCGCATAAATAAACCCAAAGCAACCCAGCAGCGCAAGGAACACATCATTACAACTCGCAAAAATGTGCACGCCGACATGATCTCGTTTACTCTCTTTCCAACGCTTGTGTTTTGTCATCGCGGTGCTCTACGACCCAGGGTTGAGGTCGCTGTCGGGCTTGTTGTAGTCCTCATTCGCATGGCTCTCGACGGGCAGTTCCACGCCCTTGATGGGATGCAGCAGCATGGCAGGCAGGCACATGCGGCCCTCACCGCCGCGCATGTTGGACACGGTCGAGTCGTTGCGGGTAACGTCGGCGTTCTCCTCGAAGTCGGCACCGCCGTCGCCGTTCACCTTCAGGCCCAGCCAGCGGCGGTACAAGTTGGGCGAGAAGCCTGCGTTGTAGTACCAGGTCAGACCCAAAAAGTTGTGCTCGCGCTGGCCAAAGACGGACATGCGCGAGCCGCCCGAGGCACCATTGCGGCCACCGTTGAACGTGCGTGCCATGTACTGCGTCGGCCACTCGCGATCGACATAGACAGGGTGTGGCACGTAGACAGCCTTGTAACCATGCTGCAGGGCAGCAGTGGCAGGCCACATCTCGGAAAAGGCGTGGTGCTTCTTGAAGGCCGTCTCGCGGTGCATCGTGTGCAACATGCGACGGGACATGCGAGAGGCCGTGATGATCTGGGCACGCCGCTGCGGCTTGCCGCTCGTCTGGCCGCCCGCTCTCTCGGCTGTCTCGTTGTAACCGGTGATGTCGTCGGCCAGCAGCCAGGTCGTGCCCTCGGGGTCGAAGATGGGGTTCAGCGTAATCAGATCTGCCTCCTCGCCCACGCCCCACGTGTACCGGTCCTTCTCGTACGAGGTGGGCGGCACAGGATCGTTTTCGGGCTCAAACCAGTCCTCCGGGTCGGCTGGCCGCACAGGGCCCCAGACAGTCTGCTCGCCAGCGACCTTGTTGGCGCCGGGACCCGCATTGGGACCAGCACCAGGGACGCCGCTCCAGATATTGTCGGCACCAGCAAGGCCCGCCTCCGTCTGCACACGTGCCATCTGGCGGAAGTCCTCCCAGGAACCGTGGACAGAGGGAATGTAGAAGCGCGAGTTACGCTCCCACAGGCCCTTGCGAGGCTGTTCCTTGGCCCAGTTCTCCGTCTTGGTGAAGAGGTCGAGGTGGTGGCCCGTGTAGCGGATATCCATCTCCCACTGCCAGAAGTACTCGTACTCGGGATGGTTGTAGGAAAAGTGCTGCATGGCCATCTGGAGACCACGGTAGACGCCGTGGACCGGCAGGCCGGGACCGCGGGTGTACAGGTCGTGGATTCCCTGGTACAGCGACAGCATCTGCGTCTCGGTCCACAGCGTGACGATGCTGCGGAACTCGGGAGGAATGACGGAGTCGATCTTCGCCCTGTAGGCCCCGTCGTCGGCCCAGATGGGGAATTTCGCGTCGTTCTTGACCTGGACGAGGAGATGGACGTCGTAGCGTCCGCCCGACGCCAGCGAAAGTTCCACGATGAGAGCGCGCAAGTTCATAATGTCCTCCTCGTGCCAAATAAACTCATCCCAACAACGGATCACAACGGCCGTACGCGGAATGTCGCCCTGCGGGGGAGGCGTAGCCGGAGCAGCAGAGGTTTCGGCATGTACGACAGGAACTGAATCAGTGCTGTTCGTGGTGGGCTCGGAAACGACGTCGGACGTCGCCTCCGCAGGTGCATCGCGTGGCGCGTGGTGAATGGGCGCAGGAGCTTCCTTTCCGAGAGGGGCAGCACCGTCGTTGACGTAGAGGCCGTTGACCGGGGCGTGGCGAGTCTCGGCCGGCTTAAAGCGGCGAGCATTGGCGTTGTAGCATCGTTGCTGGGCGCCGGCCCAGTCCACTTTGCGATAATCGACCTTGCTGGCATCACCCGCCCACACAGCCTCGGCACCCTCGCTCTCGCCATACTCGCCGACGCCCAGGCCACCTGAGCGCACCGAGTAGCCGTAACCGTATGGGCCGAAGCGACCAAAGCGGTCAAAGCAGATATCCTCGGCCAGCGACAGAAGCTCATACGAGCCCATAATGTTCTGAGGAAAGCCGTTGGGGCGGCCTTCGTAGTAGCGCAGAGGCGGCACACTGACAGTGTTCTTGTCGTCGATGAAGCAGGGGCTGATGTGATCCGGGTCGCTCGCCTTGACGTAGCCCTTGTATGTGTCAAAGGCAGCGCTGGGCGGCAGAGGCGCCTTGTCCGCCTTGTGCAGGGCAGCAGCCGCTGCGGCCGCGGCCGCGTGCAGGTGCACCTTGGGCGCAGCGTCGTCGCCCGTGCCTGCGGCATTCGCCGATGTATCGTTCACGCCCAGGCCGTACGGCTGTTCGTCTTCCTCGCGCGGGTACTGCGGCACGTTCTCCTTGAGCGGGACTAGGTTGCGCACGCCGCCATAGTAGCGAGTCAAAAAGTCAAACGACTCCCAGGCAGGCGGGGTTGCCGCTCCTTTGCCGCCGCCAATGGCTAACCGGCGGTTCTCCAGCTGGCTGGCACGGACGAGTGTGATGATGAGGACAACAATTGTCATGATCAGCGCCGTGCAGAGGTAGCGGATGACCTTTTGTGGCAGGCGGTAGATGTGTGCGCGAACGGCGGCCGACGCAGTGGATGCCCGCAGCCGCCGCCGGGGCTGTTCAAAAGCTGACACCGGGTGTCCGGTACCAGGGGCGCGTTTTGGCAACATATAGGACGTCGAGGCTGCCGTGCCGGAGGACTGTCGCGAGAAAGCACGACCGCTGCGTGGAGAAGAGGCTGCGCTCTCACCATCGTAGTCGTATTCGTCGTCGTCACTGCCATCGGGTGAGGAGATATCGTCGTCTGAGTAGCGATCCTTGCCGGAGGATGCTCTTGTGGGCTTCTCGTAGAGAGGAAGTCCCTGTGGCCGTGAGTCCCGCGAACGGAACAGGCCCGTGGGGAGAAGCCCCATGGCAAAAGACTGAGTGATGGAGGGCGGAGAAGAATGCGGGCTAGAGTCGGCAGACCAAGTCTGGCTGGAAGGGTGTGCGGTATGGCCCGCGAAGTGGAAGGACGTTGAGGAAACTGTCCAAGCGGCACAACGAGACGACGGGAAAGTATCGAGGCGTTGCGAGAGAGGAACGATCAGAGGGACAAGAAAAGAGACAAGAAAAGTCGACGATCGTCACGACTGGCTAAATAGAGTGGTCGTCCTAGTAGTGCGGCACAGGACATAGGCATGTGCAAAGCAGAGACAAAAAAGTTGCCAACTGGAGTACGACAAAAAGAAACAGACAAAATTGTGCCAAAGTCAAAGTGGATGAGCACGGGAGACGATCGTCTGCAACAGATAGATGGATATCCGTTAACAACAAGGCCGTTGCAAAATCAGAAAACAAGAAAGCGACTCCTTCCCAGAACACAAAGAGGTCGAGCCTTCTTTCTCACTGGTGTCGCCCCTTCCCTCTTCGTCTGGCCAACTTTAGTGGGGCACAATATAGCCTAGGGAGTTCAGTAAATCGCGACGCAAGAGAGATTGGGTCGCTCTTTCTCACCTTTGAATTGCTAGTGTGAAAGTGCTTTGCTTGCTTTTTTGTTATTAGTGTGCAGCGCTGGCGCAGGCCATTGGCCAATGTAGCAAGAAGACAATCCCACTTGCTATTTCTGGGCTAGTTGCTAAAGCAACCAAAGCAACGAGGTGCGGGTAGTGGGACATGTCAAGCATCCATGGGCTAATCACGAGGCTCGCTTGCCTTTGGTGGAACAGGCGCAGGCAAAGTTCATTCTTGTGAGGAAAGGGGTGCAAGTTGAAGGGAGGCAGGTGCGACACAGTTTGCTGATTGATGCGGTGTCAGGGTGTGACTTGGAGGCAGGCGCGGACGGGAAAGTAAAAGAGCGCCGTGGAAAGGGCTACAAGCCGGCCAGGTCGTTCTTTCTCCCCTTCCAGTTACTTGTCTTCTGTCCCTTCCCCCTTCCCCCTTCTCTTTGTCAATTTAAACTTGGCTGGCCGAAACTAACTCCATAATTAACGTCAATGCGACCTGCCAGCTTGGGTCACTCAAGTGGGTTTTTGTACCGTCCTTTTGTCCTCCACTTCGAACGACCAAAGCCCAGCAGCAAAATGAGGGCGACATTTCATTTGTGTATCCCCGTTTATGAGCTTCTCAGGCAAGGCTACGCTCTTGTACTCTTCCGGCATGCTCTGTAATTACCCGCTACCCGTCCTTCCGTGGACAGGGGGACGTTAGTGAGGACATTAAAGTGTACTCTCTTTGATCCAAGATGAATGACCAGAGAAAACAATGGAGAGAATCTGCGTTGCCGAGACTCTTTGCAAGCCTTCAAAGAAACTCACACGAGTGTAAAACGTGCAATGGTATGAAAAGGCGATACGCGAAAATCGGTATTTGAGATGGGATGGATGATGAGGTAAGCTTTTCTATATGATTTTCCCCTTGATCTTTGTTCCTTTATGAATAGAATATCACGAACAACTGGTGCTTCCTGTTGTATGTGCCTCCGTCTTGATATTCGTACTCCTCTAATTTGTTTTGTCAAATCGTTACTTTTTAAATTGTTTGGCACGGTTTTTAAAGGATGCCGCTGCGGTGGACTGAGGTTTGTTTTTGTAGCTGCCCTGCATTATCTCAAGTTAATTTCATTGCATTTCATTGTCCTTTCCTAAAGAAAACACCTTTGGAACTCGACCACAAATACAAACTTCCTACCATCTTTAACTTACTCTAGCACATCGGTCCCATTGAGTTCAACACTAATAACTATTTCGTAACGTAGCCTCGTGCCACCTTATCAGTAGATGACTTGTTTATTCTCCGCCAGCCAGAATCTTTATCTCCTCATTCTTCCTGCCCTACTTCCATCCGGGTCTTTCACTCGTTTATGTCCCAAGCAACCATCTCCCCCGTCCTTCCTAGCACACATCTCGCCATTTTATAAGATCATTTTCGGCCACGAATGAGATTACCCAGATATGTCCCATAATTGAAATCTTCACCTCCCACGTCTTTCTCAGTCCCCACTCCCTCTGCTGAGGGCTTCAACTTACACGGCCCCCCACCTTGGATCTCACCGCGTCTCTGAGCCTCTCACCTCCTCTTTGCCCTACATCTTCTTCCTCAAACGGGCGTGTTTCTGCAGCTGCTCCTGCATCGGATGCACCCCCAATTTTGGGCCCATCACATGACTTCTTCTTGGGTGGCCAATCCGTCTCCCTTCACCTCTGTCGCCGTGCTTCGGTCGCCCATACGCACCCGTTTCTGTACTGTTTTGGGCATTCTCTCGCCTTGTGACCTCAATCTGTGCAGCGGGGCTGCTATCCGGCATACCGGCCACTGCCAATGAGAGGTCGCATCGTTGACAGAGTCCTGCACGCTCGTACGAGCACGATGCACAAGGGCGACCTATGTCTCATTGGATTTGACCTCGTTGGTTTTGGGCAGCTTGCGTCGCGAACTCGTGGTGGCCAGAATGAACAAATACCAAAAGAGTGGAAGTGAGACGCATTCTTCCATTCGGAATCCAATAAGCCCTTCCACGGCCCATATAAACTCCAATGCCAGCCCAGCGTCACGGTCCAGCCGAACTGCCCAACAAGGCATTACGCCGCGCTGCGTGCTGACGTTTGATACCCTTTGTTTCTTGTTTTTTGCTTTCATATTCTGATAGTCTAAATTTTCTCGTTTTCTTGACCCCACACCATTGTTTCCTCAGACTCGTGGCTGTCGATTTGGCCACGCTCGAAATACCATTGGCTGTGCGAAATGCTTGCCCCTGGTCGGTTGACTTACATCGCTAAAACAGTGTCGATCACCAGCAGAAAGTACGACGTAAAACGACGAAAGCTGGAAAACGAGAAAGCCAACACTACTTTGCCTGCCCCGTGGAGCGTTGTGTTTGACGTAGGATGACATAAGTGACCTTGGGCCCTCAGGCCCTCTCACCAAATCCCCGTTCAACCCCCCGACGCAAAGCCTTGCTTAGCACAGCCAAGACTCAACATGGGGTCATTTGCATTGGCGTCTACGATGTCTGGACGTACATTACTCGACAGTAGTCTGTGGCGTGTAAGTCGTTGTGTCCACATTCAGGTCCTGCTGACCACCATCGCAAAAGCCAATTTTGCGGGTGAGAGGCTGAGACGCTCTAGAGGGACAGGCATTGATTCCATCGTCTGTTGATCCCAACCCAATCATTATAATTTACACGGCCCTGCTTCCTGTTTCGAAGATGATTTCGATACGAGGTCGTTCACATATCTTGACATCTTGTAAATTTAACCTCTTAGCTTTTGTCGTCTCACCTCATGACTCTAACATTGACTCGCGTTATGCATCCGACGTCTGTGCCACATAGCCTTATTTCAACATATTTGGGACCTTGACGTCCACTTCCTTGGATCGGCGGCCGATGCTCACAGCCACCTCTCCCAGCCCTAAATGTTACCAAGTACAAGCGTCTTATAGAAAGCCCTTCGCAACCTTGATACACCCCGGCCCTGCACTTGATATGCTCGTGTTTCCATGTAAGCCCGTCTTGATTCCATGCCAAGCAAAGAACGTTGTCTTCCCGAGGAGCTGCGCCTACTTTCATCCCCTGATGTCCTGTCACCGCCTTCGCACTGTTTTGCTATCCTCGACGTGTCTTCGTTACGTCTCCAAGTCTCTTTCGTTTTCTCTCGTACTGCATCGTCGATCCAGACGCCGTTCGCTCCAATCAGCCGTCTTCCTTTGTATGTCATTGGCCCGGCGCCTGTGCCTCTCGACACCGGCCACCTGACCCCCGGACCCGCTTGTTAGTGGACTTGCATCTGCATTGTTCTCGTGCCACGCACAACGCAAATGCGTCCTCCTCAGGCGCACACGATATCGCACCTTCACCCCAGCATTGTACCGCCTTGCGGTGACCCCCATGTACTGTCAACGCCGTCCATCCGCTCATACAAACCGGCGCTGCCCTCCGTATACGGAACAAAATCCCTGATCGAATGCCGCCACTATGACACAGCAGCATCAACACAAGAGCCACATATGTTATAGGATGGAGAGACAAGAACAAAAAATATATATATAAAATAAAATATAAAATAAAATATAAAATAAAACAAAAACCAATTACGGCCCGATTCTCACAACAGAAACACACCGCACAATTGGCCACGCAGAAACTTAAAAGGGCCAAAACCTCCCACCTTGTTGTCATCCATCGTCGCTTCCCAAAAGTAACATTGTTGCGCAACGTCCTTTGCTCCTTCCTGGACTTTGCTCTTGCCCTTCTTAATCGCCTTTCCACGTTTTTATGCTCCCACACTGTCCCTTGCTCTTTCCTCGAACACGCCCCTCCTTCTCTTTCCTTCGTTTCACCGGTCCTCCGGCAAGTCACCTGCCACAACTTAGCGTCGTTCTTGCTCTTGCTGTTCTGGTGTTAGTCCACACAGGTCAACTGCACATTGTCTCGAACTTCTCCTCTTTGCCATCTTTCGACTCTCGACGGATTGCTGTCCTTATATATTTCTAAGAGCATCCCACAACTGGCCTACATTCACACCCTCACTTTCGTCTCGCCGCTCCCTCTTGCCCTCGCACCTAGAGCCACCTCAACCCACACACACCCGCCTTTCGCCTCGGCAGCACACAGGTAGCAAATAAAAAGGCATCTTCTCGACGCGAGACCCTTGTCGTCTCCTTGTCAGTTGTACATCTATTCGCTCTTTTCTCATTACTCCCGGTCGTCTCACCGTCAGCCCTTGTTTCCTCACATACCCGCCGTCGTATTCTCTTGCCCGACATACCCACACCTTTCCGCCAGTCTCTGACATCTCCCGCTCAGGTCTCGATCTGTCTTGTCTTTGCCCGGTTTCCATTCTCTATATCAAGCATCAACTGCCTCTACCGTCCGTCAACATGGCGACTCTCACCGTGACGTCGACCAATGTCGACCCTCTACATGCTCTGCCTGCGTCGCCTCATACTCCACCTCTGCCTCCGACGACGCCCTCATCCACGCTGTCACCACTCTCCCTTCCCAAGCAAAACGGAGACGCCAACACTGGCGACCTCTCCATCAACATGGTCATCCACCAGAACCCCTTTTCCGTCACACTCGACGCCTGGGCCATGCTCGCCGGCTCCTTGCTGCTCGTGGTCGGGATGCACTGTATGCACCTGTCTGTGCTCAAAGCCATTATTGTTGCTGTGCCCGTCGTCTTGCTCATCCGCAACGACTATCTTAATTTCCTCTTGCTGGGCCCGGGTGGCACACCACCCACTTTTGTGGGCTACGTCCGCCTGCTGTGGTTCCGTTTGTTTGCTCTGCGTGACGTCTACCATTGCCCGCCCGAGACCGACCCGGGCCTGGCGCCGTCCCGCGGCATTCTGCGGAGCGGCGGCGGCAGCAGCAGCGACGAGCACATGGACTCAACTGCCAGCGAACTGCCGTACCGTCCCGGGCCCCGGCCACAGGTGGCTGGCCTCGCGCCGCAGCGGCAGCTCGACCAGCAGGCGTCCACGGCGTGCTACAGCCAACTCCGTGCCGCGGTCGAGGCCCTGACGCGTAAGCACCCCGACACGTTGAGCATCGCGACCTCGTGCATCGAGAAGCACGGCTTTGGCCTGTTTGCACGCCATCCCGTCAACGTCTGGGGCCAGGGCGAGATCTTCCACATCCATGACTCGGAAAAGTCCATGCACATGAGCCTGCACCCGGACGACATCAAGGAGGTGCTGGACAAGGGCTGGGGCCAGCGCCACCCTCTGGCCTTTTCTGGCTGGGTCAAGGCGCCGCTGCCGCCGACCTTTGTCATGATCTATGCGCCGAGAGGTCAGTTGTCACCTGCGCTTTCGTGATCCTTTTTGTCTTTTTTCAAGTATGGTTTCCACTAACAGGTCAGACGAGAGCGATCTCGCTATCATTGTTCGCATTGTCGAGGCGGCCATCTGGTACACCATGGCACAAAAGATCCAGCTGAAAGTGCCACCTGCTGAGCCAGAGATGCTGGCGTAACTAAAGGTCGAGTCACACACAGCCTTCTTCCGGCCCACAACTGAGAGTCGTCCTCTCGCCTTTATTTGTTTTGAGATCCTTGGTCGCATTCATGGACTCGTGCAAGCTATAGCCTGCTCTTTGCTTTTTGGCTTCTATTGTTACGATATACCACAGTGATGTTTTGACGAAATCAAAAATGGTGGGTGGTGTGTTGATAAGATGTATGACGGCAAAAGGTAGGCATTGACGCGGTGTTTAGTACGGGGATGACTGGAAATTGATGAAAAAGGGAGAGCATATATTATATCAATGACAACACATTAAAAAAAGGAAGTTTAGTGAATGCAAGTATTATATTCCTCAATGTTTCCTTTTTATTTTAAGAAAAGAAATTGAAATAAATGACACAGAAAATAAATAAAAAATCTATTAAAGAACTTTCATTACCGGCTCAGGCCACAATACTCTGAAAACGAGACGCTTAATGGAAGAGCACCGACCATCGACACGAGAATCAATCGTCCTCCTCGTCGCTGCTGCCCTTGCCCTCGTCGTCGTCGCCCTTTTTCGACTTGCGGTACTTTTCCCGCCCCGTCGCCAGCGTCGCCTCCACAATGCGCCCGTCAAACGCCCGCCCACCCATCAGCCGCACGCAGGCCGCCGCCGCTTCGGCCGTTTTGAATTTGACGCTCACCACGCCGGCGGCTTCCTGGTCAAAGAGCACCACATTGGTCACGTCGCCCAGCTTGCTGCACTCCTCGCGGATGTCCTCCTTTATGTCGAGCAGCGCGGCCGGGTCCTCGTCGAGCTCGGCCAGCGTAAACATGTGCTTGAGGACGACGACCTTGTCCCATTTGCGGTTGCGGCTGCTGCCGTTGTTGTTGCCGCCGCCGCCGCCCGTCAGGCCTGCAAACCGCTCGTCCTCGTCGCTGCTCCAGTCGGCCAGCTTGGCGTCCAGCTTCTGCGTCTTTTTAATAATCTTTTGCTTGTCCTGGTGGGCGTTTTTCCCGCTGCCACCCGTCGGCGCAGACGCAGACGATCCCGGCTGTCCACCACCGTCCGTCGCCACTGCCGACGCCGCTGCCGACGCCGCCCCGTCGCCTGGGGTTCCGCCCTCAGCCGGCGTGCTGGACTCGCTCTGCTGCTGGTAGTTGGTCTTCTTGTAGCTCGAGTCGGCCGCCTGCACGTGCATGCGTCCGGCGTCTGCGCTGCCCGGCGTGGGCGCAAAGCGGAAGTCTGTGTCGTCCAACAGCATAATGGCCATGTCGACGCTCTGCGGCTTGAAAAAGACAATGAGCGCGTCGCCCTTGAAGGAGCCGTCGCTGTTTGTGTACATCTTGATGCGCGGCCGGCCCGAGTCGATCTCTTCGGCGATCACGCCGCACTTGCGCGAAAACAGCTCGGCCACCTCGTCGGCCGTGGCATCGGAGGGCAGTCCGGTGACGTAGACGGCGGTATTTTGTTTCGGTTGGCGTGGGCCAGCCTGTGCCTTGGCACGCTTGTTGCTGCTGCCCGTGGTAGTGTCGTTGTCGTTGTTGTTGCTGTTGTTGCCATTGTGACCTCCTCGACGGCCGTTTGGATGCCGGTCTTGGTTCTGACTTGTATCTCGTGGCTGAACATGAGGGAAACAAGGAGCATACAATAAAACAAAGTCGAGGCAGAAGCCAAGACGGAAGAGGAGAGCAAAAGTGGTCAGTTTTTCGCCCGGGACGGTGAAATCTCCGATCGCGTGTTCTTGTTTTTTGTATGTCTTATTTTGATATTCAGGTGAAGGCAAAGGAGGATGACGCAGAGTGAGGTGAGGAAATAAAAAGAAAAGGGGCCGGCAGTGCAGGGGCAGCTGCACACAGGCAGCGGCAGTGGCAGCAGCAACAACGGGTGCAGCTTACCTCGCTATTGTAGTAGGAGTGGTCCGGCTTCCGTTTCCTGCTCTCCGAGGCACTGCTTTCTTGTTGATGCGCGGCAGCAAAAGCATCGATGGCGCTGCCCTCGTCCGCGTCGTCGTTGTCCGCAAGCGGGATCCAACGCCTCAGTGACTGGTCAAACTCAAACTCAGTGCCATCGTCCTGCACGGCAATGTACTTGCGGTCGAGCCGTGAATACGAGATGCGCTCATCGTCGTCAAACTGTGATATGTCCGTCGGAAACGTCCAGATTTGGCCCACCCCTTGGTCGGCCATGGCGGAGGTGATACGAAAGGACTCAGCTATAAAAGCAACATGAAGAGGACGCCGAAGTGTCGAGTACGCTATGCTTGCGATACCAAGTGAGCATGAGCATGAGCATGAGAACGAGAATGAGATCAACAAAAACAAGAAATGCAGCAGGCAGAACCAGGTAGCTTTGAAGTGGCTCCATCTCGTAGTCCTATTGGCCAAATCGCACGCACAGTGCATTATATAATAAACACTGTATTACACTGTACATCACATAGACGACATGTTACAGTAAGACTCCAATGGATCTGATCTCATTTCTTTCTTGTTTTTGGATTCGCTTGCATATTTGCGCCGAAACATGTATTAATGGACATGTGAGTGTCATACAAGGAGTCTACAGCCACCAAAACACATGTCCTATGACATCACCGCCCCCTTCTCCGCTACTGCTTCTGCTTCTCAAGCTTGTCCTCGACGGCCGATTTGACGCCCTCCACAAATGCCTCGACGGCCTCGGCGCCGCCCATGGGCATGGCACCGCCCGTCAGGAAGCCCTGGTTCTTCACAGGGATGGCTAGCGCGTCCGCAATGCTGGGCAGGCCGCCGTCGCGGATTGCCATGGACAGGCTAGCCAGGCTCTGCGAGAACTGTGGGCTGCGCAGCACCTTTTCGAGCAGGCTCTTCTTCTCGGCCATGGACATGGCAGCCTTGGCAGCAGCAGCGGTCTCCGCTGTGGGCTCGATTAGGTCGCCGCCGTCCTCGCCGGACTCGTGCTGGCTCAGAATGAGGACGGTGGGCGGCAGGTAGTTGAGGAGGCCATCGATGTACTCCTCGCTGGCGTTGCGAACCATGGGGATGGTGACTTTGGTCTCGAGCAAGTCGTTGAGCAGCGGGTAAGTCTTGTCGCGTGTCTGGCCGGCGCCCGCGCCGCCTGCGCCGCCTGTACCGCCCGCCAGGTTACCCTGCTGGCCGAGCGATGCTAGTAGGTTGCGAACGACTGTTGCTGCGTCTGGTGCGGATGACGAAACTCTGGAGTATGTAAGTCAGTGAGGTGATTTATTGCCAGGATGAGAGATTTGGCTATGACAGACGACAACATGGAGAGTGGAGATATAGAGAGAGACAGAAAATGACAGAATGAGAACAACAGATGAAAAGAAAACGCTATTAACAACAAAAGCCCGCCCGCACCGACACAATTGTAAACATTTTTGCTGGTGGAAAATATTTTTCTTTTCGTTTGGCAAAACGCTCTATGGTTAATAACTGACAAATAAAAGATAATAAAATGCTGGTAAAACAACGCTGGAAACTAGTGCCTCGAGAGAGCGCGTGCCCTTGCTCTGCTGAGCAGATCGTCAGGGTGTGTAGCGGCCATAGTTGTGGGTGTTGAGGAGGGAGGAGAAATAGGTGCGTAGGTCGCGTCCGCCAGGTTCTTCAGCGTCTCTTTGAGATTCGATGACCGTCCTTGCACATCTGCTTCCTCGTCGTGTCGTTCTTGGTGCGCCGGGCTGTGCCTTGGCCCATACCGTCGGCCGTCGCGCGTCTCTCTCGTCTCTCTCGTCTCTCTCGTCTGTCTCGTCTCTCCACGTCGTCGTTCACACAATGCTCTCGGAAAGGAAGACTGAACACCTACGCTCTTGCCCCGTCGGCGCCGCCTTCGCGGGAATCTTCCCCTTCTTCGCGGACGTCGCCGCCCGTCGCGCCGGATCCAGCACCGCCGGGGCCTCTGCCGTGTTGGTCCTCGGCGTCCTCCATGGTCTCGTCGCCGTCGCCGTCGTTGCCGCTGTGACCGCCGCCTCGCCGGCCGTCGTTGTTGTTATCGCGCACCTCGGCCAACTCTGCGTCAATGTCCGGCTCGCCGCCCTGCAGGAGCTCGTCGACCAGGTTGCCAATCTTGCGGTCGCGTGGGCTGAGCCAGGCCGGGTTGCCGTCGGGGCTCTGGGGTTTGGACTGCAGCCAGAAGAGGTGGCGCTGGGAGGACGATTCGAACTTGAGGACAAAGATGCGGCCGTTGGTCTTGGACGAAGCATGGTCGCCCGTGCCTTCATAGGGAATAAAGCGGCCGTCGCCGGGAACCATGACGAGGTTGAGCGGTGCGTCGTCCATCAGGACGTCCCGTGGCCGCCAACAAAAGTGCATGAGGTCTGGGGAGCGGATGTTAGGGCAAACGAGACGGCTTTCGGGCAGTAATGGGGCGTGGAGCGTGAGGCTTGGGTCTCGAGACGATCCTGCCATCTGCCACTTGCCACTTACCATCTTCGGCGTACAGAAAGATGTAGCCCGGCTCGGGTTGAGCTTTTACCTTGTGCGGTCGGCTTGACGACTGCAGCAGAAGGAAATCAAATTGTTAGCGGCACCAAGTCGCCAGGAACTATGCGTGAATGCGTCCAGTAGTGGCAACGTACATCCACCTCACAGAGGCCCGCCTTGAACGTGATGGTTGGGATTATTGACATGTTCGCGAGGAGCTGTGGGGTTCCGGTGTCTCGACAATAAAGATGATGTAGACGTGCTATGGCAATCAATTCAGACTTTGGACAGCGTTGGAAACACGTGTTGTGGGTGGAACACAGATACGGTGATGCTGTCGTGTGTTTTGTTGGTGATGATGAGGGAGAACCAACGAGATGTTGGAGCTTTCGGAGCTTCTGTTTGGGCAGGCGACCGGTGGCCACAGGCGCCAATGCCGTGACGTCTGCAAGGTCGTCTGCCAGGTGGCAACAGGTGGCAGGTGGAAAGAACAAATATGATGAGTAATCGCCTCCTATGACATTTCATGTGACAACTTATCTGCATCACGTGTAGATACGCTATCCGTTTTACAACGACCTCTACAATAGGTAAGCACGCTACGCAACATGATTGGTCAACCACTCTCCCTTTGTCTTGCCTTCCAGTTTTTTCCATGAGACGGCCCCACTCTCTTTCAAAAAATTAACGCCGCACACAAAAATAAAATCGGAGAATCCTGTGCTGATAGGGTTTGCTTCCTGGTGGGCTGGCTAACCAATTTTTTTTCCGCCCTACTTTCCCCTACTGGCACCGGTTGTGTGGTTTTTTCTTAAAACCTCCTCTGCTTCTTAGGCCAACCCGCACATCTAGACACAACACGCCAGTATCATCGCCGCACACATCGCGACCCGGGACAGCAACGAAGGTTTCTTTTTCGTCGTTTACCACTCCTTACAATCGACACCATGTCGCCCACCGCCCCTGCGACGAAGAAGTTCGGCAAGTCCTCGCGGACTGTGCCTCACCACACCGAGCGGGCCCAGAAGTGGTACCCGGCTGAGGACGATGCGCAGCCGAAGAAGGTGTGTTGACGGAGAGGGGAGAAGGGAGAGGGCGGACAGGATGCATGAGGCGGGCAAGCGCGGGACGAACGGACGGCCTGGAAGAGGGGGCAGCCGAGCACACCGACGCCGGCGTGAACCGATGCGGCAAGAGGAGGACATGAATGGGATGATATGCGGGCAGATGGGATTGGGGCCTTGAAAGGCTTGGCCGGCATGTTTTCGTCTTTGGCGGGGATGCCATGGCCAGCTGGAAAAGCCGCCTGGAAAGTCCACTTGGGAAATGAGAGGAACAGAGAGAGGGGAACAGGAAGGCCGCCCGCATCGAGCCGCAATTGCGTGAAAGCCCGCCTCTATGAGCCATCCTGCATCCTCGACGACGAAACATCGCCGCAAGACAGTCTAGTTACTAACGAATTCGCAATCACAGGTCCGCAAGGCCCTCCGCCCGTGGAACCCCCGCAAGTCCCTGGTTCCCGGCACTATCCTGATCCTCGTTGCCGGCCGTTTCCGCGGCAAGCGCGTGGTCCTCCTCAAGAACCTCGACCAGGGTGTTCTGCTGGTCACCGGCCCCTTCAAGATCAACGGCGTTCCCCTGCGGAGAGTCAACGCCAAGTACGTCATTGCGACATCAGAGAAGGTCGACCTGGCTGGCGTCGACGCCAAGAAGATTGAGGAGATTGCGGCACCCAACTACTTCACCGCCGACAAGGCCAAGCAGAAGGCTGGCGAGGAGGCTTTCTTCCAGCAGGGCGAGAAGCCCCAGGTGCGTTTTACCTACCCCCTTTTCCGTCGCCTATGCTGTGTGCATTTGTCCATGGTGACCACCACTAACCCCATACCAGAAGAAGGAGATTGCGACGACCCGCGTAGCGGACCAGAAGGCCATCGACAAGGCTCTGATTGCCAACATCAAGAAGGTCGAGCTCCTCGGCAGCTACCTGGCAACATCCTTCAGCCTGCGCAAGGGCGACAAGCCCCACGAGATGAAGTGGTAGACGGATGATGATCGGACAAAGAAAAAAAAGCACAACAATACACCTTTCTCTTGTTTTATTACGGATAATATGATCGATTGAAAATTAAAAATTCCACCTTACACACACACGGAGTATCCATCGTTTTCACGTTCGACGTACGTTTCCCGACAAATATTGAGAGAGAATCAGGGCGTTGTTCTTTTTTTTTTTTCTCGTCTCGTTTCTCTCCGCTTTTCCATCTCGTCTCTCTTCTATCGCGGCACTGTTATTTATGTTTTATGGGTTTTTCTTTTCTTTTTTCAACGCTATACACATCATCACCAATGGCCCTCCCACCTCTCGGCTCACCGGCTTTTGCCAACCGACCTTTTCGTTTTCCGACAACCAAGGAACAATCGATCATGCTGTCGTGGATGACTGGCAAAAGGGAACCGGGGGACACCATGTGGCGAGGTGAGGTGACTGGAGGAGGGGCACGGAAGAAGAAGAAAAAGGAAACGAGATGTTGGTTGGAGGGAGCATCGGCGCGTCTCTTTGTCTTCATTTGGGGCACGGGCACACAAACTCTCACGAGGGGAGCAAAAGAAATACAACTTTTTTTTCACATAAATTCTGTTTTTCCCTGTCAAAGAAGAACGGGAAAGAAAACATGTGAAAAGGACATTTAAGAAAAAAAATGAGGGAAGCAAAACTCTTGAGCAACAAAAGAAAAAAACAAACAAAATTACCCATTCAAGTTCTGCTTCACGGTCCCACGGTTTGTGATCCAATGGTGAATTAGGCGGTCGATTTTGGCTTTGGCCTTTTCTGTGTTTGTCGTTGTTTTCGTTCTGCTTTTCTATTTTCTGTCCTGCGTTTTGTCGCCCAATCTGTGTGTTGTCTGGTTCTCCCCTTTTTGTTTTTTATTCTCCCCACCGTCATCACACACAGAAGCGCATGGCAAGAAAGCAAAAATATACGAAATAAAATATATAAAAACCTTACAACATTAAAATTACTGCCTTTCAGGATACGTGAAACGAAATGAGATGCAATACGATAAATCACTACGGAAGTCACCAACTGGCTTCGCATAATTTATTTTTCCTTAACTTTGATATCCTATCACAACTTGGTCGACCGTCCGTGACGCACTGGATGCCCCACAGGCAGTCACTCGCGGTCGGCAAAGCTCTGGATCAGGCCCTCGGGCGTCGTATCGTACTCCTTGAGCGTGACCTTGCCAGTGGCATCGTCCAGATACGTATTGGCCTGGACAAACACCTTGCGCGGCTGCTTGTTCTTGAGCACAACATCGCGCACCTTGGTGCCCCAGTACTCGAGGCCAACAGCCGACATCTTGTCGGCGAAGAAGGCGGTGCCGTTCACGACGTCGGCAGTCGACTTGTAGATGTGCAGCTTCTGCAGGTAGTCACCGACGGCTGTAAAGTTAGCATCGTGCCCGGAAGGAGAGGAAAGGAGTAGGTGGGGGGGGGGGGGGGCAACGAAAACGACCTACCCTTGCGACCGGTGGTCAGAATCTTGGAGCGGTCCAGCTTGATGGTCAGGTCGGACAGGTCGTCGTTCTTGTACTCCAGCTTGCAAAAGTCGTCGCCGGCCTCGAGGAAGCACCTGAGGATCGAAAACCGCGCCTGGCAATGCGGCTGGCCCCATTTCTGGCCCTTGGGGTCCCAGAACTCGACCGACGTCAGACCGGCCCGGGCCATGCTGAGGTACGAGGCATACAGGACGTCGCCTGCCTCGCCGTCCAGGTCGTCGGAGCCGTCGCCGAAGCCAAAAATTTTGAGCACCGGGAACTCGCAGCTCAGGAACATGGCCACCAGCTCGGCGCGGCACTCCTCGTAGGCGCCCGCCAGACCGCCAAACACGGAGCCCCACGTCTGACCAGGCTTGTACCAGGTCGTCACCGGCTTGCCGGTCAGCGGGCTGACGGGCGGGTTGCTGTGGTCAAAGTTGTAGACGCCGGCGCTCGTCTCCTGCAGCAGCTTGCCGCAGCCGTGGCCCGTCAGCTCGTGCAGGCCGACCTGGACCTCAAAGGCGCCGTCGCGGTACTTTTGATACAGCTCCAGGTCGTCCTCGCGGATAAAGGGGATCTTCTCGTTGGGCGCCTTGGCGCTAAGCACGTTGCCAAGCGACACATTCTTGAAGCCCTCCGTCTGGCGAATGTCGTCGTAGTTGGGGATGTTGATGCCGGCGGGGATGCCGGAGCCAGCAAATGTGAGCACCTCGAGGGACGTGAAGTCAGGCGACAAAAACTTGTCCTTTTCGAAATCAGCGCTCCAGGGCAGCAGCGGGATCAGTGTTGGGGCCGCGTCGACCAGGGCGCCAAAGGCGCGCGTGCGCTCCAAGTTGACCATGGCCACAAAGCCCTCCCACTCGCCGCGTGTGCCGGCAGGGTCGCGGTACGTCTCGATGAAGCCAATGTTGGTCTCGACCATGGGTCCCTTGTCGCGGATCCAGTGGCGCTGGCTGTCCTTGAACGCGAGCAGAGAGCCCTCGGAGAAGGACTTGGCGTACGCCTCGTGCATCTTTGTCTCCGTCTCGTTGTCGGCATGGAGGGCCGCCTGTGCAATGTTTTTGGCAATCTCGGCCATCTCCGTGGCGTAGTCGCCGTACACCAGGCGGATTGTGGCGCCCTGGAGGGCAGCCGGCTCGCTCTCGTCAAGCGCAAACTCAGTCTCGGTGCTGCCGACGTCGCGGCCGTCAACGGGTGGGTTGGTCTGACCGGACGCAATCAGCAGCTCAAAGACCTTGCTGCCCTTTTGTTTGCGCAGACGGGTGTTCTCCGGCAGCAGACCCTTCTTCTCCATCCACTGGGCGACGCCGGCAATCTCGTCCTTGGTGATGTCGGGCGAGTCGGGGTAGTACGTGGTCAGGTGACCGTCGTCGGTGTAGCCGAGATGCAGCAGGCCGACATCCTCGGACGAGAAGATGGCGCCCTTGGTCGCCTTGTAGTGCTTCTCGGCATCGGGCGACGTGCCGGCCAGGGCGGCAAAGGCGGACTCGGGGGCCCGCGGGATGAACTTGGAGTCGCCGAAGCTCTTGTAGTTTCCGCAGTTGCCTAGGAACTGCGCGGCGTACTGCAGAAACGCCGTGAGGTGGGCCTCCTCGACGCCCGCCTTGGCAGCAAGGGCCCTCCAGTCGCCGGCAGCAGCCGTGTTGAGCGCCAGGATGAAGTCGTAG